TAATTTTAACTCATTTTTATTTTTTGTAAACTTAAAAGTTAGTGCTCTATATGATAATCCTGGTTATTTATACAATGTAAATATATTATTTTTAAGAAATCTAAGTATAAGCTTTATTAACTTTATTAGTCTTCAATATTAAAAAGAAGTCTTCATATTATTCAATGAAATTGCAATAATATAAATTTATATCTTGGACGAAAAGCAAAGTTTATTTCATGATAATGAGATAGTCAGTTATCTTTGAGAGAAGATTTGCCACCTTCTAAATTGAAAATGAGTTATAGATTAACTTTAAGCAGTATCAATTCAAACAAAACATTTTAGCAAAGCTGACAAATTTTATCAGAAACAAACACTCTCAAATACAAAAATTTTTTTATGTAATTAAGGTTTTAAACACTATCTTCATATTAAATTCAATAAAGAAAATATTAGCGAATAATAAAATAGATTAATTTATCTAAGTAATATTGTTTGTCCATTATCTACAAATTCTTTTCCTGAAGCTGAAAAAATAAAATGACAAATGTCTTGTTAAAAGAAGAGAATAATATAATTTTTTTAAAAGATTTCAATAGGTAAATTGTTCTTCTTAAGTCTAAAAATAATGAAAAATTACTAAGTGCCTGTAGAATGAAAGATTAAAATTGATATATTAAGCTCTGATTAAGAATAGCAGTAAAGTTTAATAGAAAGCAACCTAAATCAGAGAAGGTGAGATCTAAAATAAAGGCAGTGGTTATTAGGTACTTACTTTCCAAATTTATTAAGGGTTAACAAAATAAAAATTAACAAAATAAATAAAAATTAACAAAATAAATATATAATGAAACAAATTACATTTTTTGAAGAATTTGAACCTTGCAGTATAGTTTTCATATTGATTTACTCAGAGAAAAGAAAAAAAGAAACTGAAAACTGCATAAATAGAATCAACTTTAATCAACATTTGATTTCTATTAAAATAAGGCATCAATAGATTATCAAGATAAAATTTGTTAAAAAGTTATAGATCTATTAGTTAAAGTTTGGTTAGCTAAGCCAATATCAAAAATGTATTTTAGCTTATTACAAGCAAAACTCAAATTCAAAAGTTAATTAAAATCAATCACTCCCTCAAATAAATAATTTTAGGGTATTTAATCAATTCTACTCATTATATTGAATATATCCTTTAGAATGATTCATTAGAACCAACAAGTAATATCTTTATATAGTTATCTCAATTCCATGACAAGTCAACATTACTACTTTGTCTTCTACATTTTATGATTTAATCTTTTAGACTACTTTTATATATCTAATGTGATGATGTAAATAATTTCCATCATAGTGGGATGTAATTATAATATGATGCCATTCATCTGTATTCACAAATTTAATTAACTTTATTTAATCAGATTCCTTTTTTGATGGCTTATATATACTATTTAAAAATAACTTTATTCTTTTTCTTTAAAAGTGTAATTCTAATAACAACATGGAATATTTCAATCTGCAAAAAACCTGTACTTTTAAATTTTGCCTTTAATATTTTGCTTAATATTAACTAGAATTTGCCAGAATAGTTGATCAGTCCAATATTTTTATTAATTTTTAATTAAATAGAAAAAATTTTTAATGCATAAGCTAAAATGTTTTGGAAAACTGAAAAGATCCTAAAGATTTATGAAATTCAAAATATAATATCATCAAGAGATAAGAGGTGATATGTTTTAAAAAGCTTAATTAAACAATTTCAATCTAGCCTAATCCAAAAAAAATATGATAATTAATTTAGTAGCCAACAAAAAGCGATGATCATAAAATTAATCATTTCTCTATTATTTTAGACTTTGCATTTAAGAAACTTTCTCAATTTTAAAGTCTTTCATAACAAACTTTTCATGAACAAGCTTAATTCCGCATCATGTGTTTTTTAAATATTCATAGACATTTTTTAGCAAGCTAAGCTTATTCAAAATACCTAACTAATAAAATTCTCCTTTTTCATACAATATTTGGCATTTCTTGACGCTTGAAAAAGAAGATTAGGCTTAAATCTTTCTAAACATTTTAAATAATCTACTTGTATTGTACTTCTTCTATTTGATTTATTAAAGAAATAGTAGTTACGAATTTAAAACAAAAAAAAATTGCTTCAAATAAAACAAAAAATTAAAAATAGTATCTCAGAAATTATTAATAGTTACACTCAAGAAGTAAGAGACATAATAGAATCACAAAAAATACCAGAATAATACCTGTATATAAATATTAAGCAGTTACATTTAAACTAGATAAATATTGATTGTTTTTGATTGATCTTCATTAAACAGTTTCTCATGTCATTATAATAAAAAAAGTTGTTTTTTAGTTTTTTTTCAGTAAATATTAGAGAGAGTAGAATAAAAACCTTAAGTATAGTAGACTTAGGATAGGAATATTACATAAGAACTTAAAGAAAATTTCATTGCCACGCACAAATTAGAATAGAATCATTCTTAAAGTTTTATATATTTTATTAAACTATTAATATATTCAGATAAAGCTAAATGATATTTAATTTAAATAGAGAAAGATTATGATTATGCTATTTTTAGGTAAAGCTTATTTTGTAATAATTTAGTATTTCGATCATTCTAAATATAAAATATGATAATAGTACTATTGCGATATTGATGTTCTAAAAAATTTTTGAAAACGTTTATGAATATAAAATTAATATTAAAGTTTATTAAAATAAAAGATGGTGGAATATTTGAGTAGATAAATAATAAATAATAAAATGAATTGAAGTGAAATTAATACTATAAGAAGTAAAAAGTAATTGAAACAACTAAATAAATTAAGGAAAATATAGCAGAAAAAAATAAATTATTTTTGATATTTTATTTATGAATCAATTTTCAAAACTTCTTTAATTCTTTTTAGATTTATTGTTTATTAAAGCCTGCATTTAGGGCATTCATGTACCATTTCTTTGATTCTTCTTTATTTCCTAATGCAAATAATGCATCACCTAATCAAATAACGATCAAAAAAATACCTTTATTTTTCATATATAAAGGTTTCTGTACTATAGATAAAGCTTAATCATAACATATTATTGCATCTTAATAACGATTTAAATTTTTTAATGCATTTCCTAAATTAAAATAAATATCAGAAAACTTATTTACCTTTATTATTGAAAGCTTCACTATAATTTGGATTTAACTTAATAGCTTCATCATAACATATTATTGCATCTTAATAACGATTTAAATTTTTTAATGCATTTCCTAAATTAAAATAAATATCAGAAAACTTATTTACCTTTATTATTGAAAGCTTCACTAAAATTTGGATTTAACTTAATAGCTTCATCATAACATATTATTGCATCTTAATAACGATTTAAATTCTTTAATGCATTTCCTAAATTAAAATAAATATCAGAAAACTTATTTACCTTTATTATTGAAAGCTTCACTAAAATTTGGATTTAACTTAATAGCTTCATCATAACATATTATTGCATCTTAATAACGATTTAAATTCTTTAATGCATTTCCTAAATTAAAATAAATATCAGAAAACTTATTTACCTTTATTATTGAAAGCTTCACTAAAATTTGGATTTAACTTAATAGCTTCATCATAACATATTATTGCATCTTAATAACGATTTAAATTCTTTAATGCATTTCCTAAATTAAAATAAATATCAGAAAACTTATTTACCTTTATTATTGAAAGCTTCACTAAAATTTGGATTTAACTTAATAGCTTCATCATAACATATTATTGCATCTTAATAACGATTTAAATTCTTTAATGCATTTCCTAAATTAAAATAAATATCAGAAAACTTATTTACCTTTATTATTGAAAGCTGCACTAAAATTTGGATTTAACCTAATAGCTTCATCATAACATATTATTGCATCTTAATTACGATTTAAATTCTTTAATGCCATGCCTATATAAAATATTATTTTCATTTTACCTTTATAGTTATATACTACATGTTGATTATTATCATATTTTAATGATTCCTCAAAAAATGCTAATGCTTCCTATAATTATCCACTAATATATAATTATTTTCCTAATTCAATTTGATCTTTAATTTACCTTTATTATAAGATTCCTATGCTTTTTGTTTCATCTATTCTTATGTCAATTATTAATTTAAAATATCTTATTTTTTTTAATTTTCCAATACTTTGATCTCTTGTATTTTAGGTTATTTTTCTTTCTCTTAATTAAGATCTTTAAAAGCTTATACATTTTTTTAAAGTTCAATTATTATAGATCCTTTATATTTATAATATTTATTTACTATGTTAATCTATCTTCTTCTTTGAATAACATTCTTTAATAAATGGAATTTGTTCTTTAACCCTAATATATGATTGATTTTTCATTAATTGCTCCATTTCTTTTAATATTTTAATATCAGATTCTATTCTTTTATAATTTTTTTCGAATTCCAATTTGAATTGATTTTGAATGTCTTAGTAATTAGTTATTAATTCATTTCTATCTTGAATGTATTTATTTAATAATAAAGTAAGTTAATTAAATCTTATACAATCATTTGGATGATCTTAATGAATATTAAGTATACATTTAAAACAGAATTATGAAGCCTTTGAACAATTTTAATTCACACAAAAACCCATTATTGGTTCATTTTCATGTGTTTCATATCTACATTTATAATCTTCATCCATAAATTTTTAATAATCAAATAAAAAGATTTGAAAATACTTTATAATTGACAATTATATTTTAATAGAATTAGAAAACTTTATCAGATATTAATATATATACATAACAAAAATTCATTAAAGCAAATAATTTGAGAATATATCATTATTATGATACACATTTTTTTATGCCTTTCTATCTCAAACCGATTTATAAACATTAAAAAATAAATATCACAAACAATTTCTCTATAATATAACATTTATTTATTTCCATTTTTTATTTTCTCATTAAATTCTCATTACATGTTATTTATCCATATCTATTACATTTATCCTACTCTATAGTTTAAGAAATGTACATTACTTTTTTCTAGTTTGCGAAATTTTTAAATTTAATTATATTAAAAATTATTTATATATTAAAAAAATGCTAATCAATGTATTGAAATCTTTTAAAAATATAAAGTCTATGTAAATATATACTCCTAATGAAAAACTTTTGTTTCAATATCTTTAATTAAGTAAAATTTGATGTAGACATCAAAAGATCCAGATTTCTTAAGATTTATCTAAATTATTTCAATATTCTTCAGACCGAATTATTTTTCTATTGGTAATCTTTTACTAATAATTAATTTTAATTATTTTAATAATTTTAAATCAAATAATTTTGGGCTAATATAAAAAAAAAATTCTCTAGGATCTAAAGATTTCTTTTCAAAGCAGTTAAGTTTGTTTGAATCATTGTGCCTATAAGGCAAATCATGAAATATAGCTTCAAAGAGTGATTAATTCCCTTGAGAATATGAATTTTAATGATCAGTTTCCAATTTATATTGTTAAGTTTGTACTCTATATCATACTTATCATTAATTCCTTTTCCATTTAGCTCTTTTTGTTAAAATACTATTTACTTTATAATTATGTAATCATTTTAGAAACTTACTTTCTTGTCATCTTCTCTTCTTCTTTACCTTAGTAATTGATTACAATCCTTTTAATTTATGATGCCTAATAAGTAATGATTTTAGAGTCCACCTTTATTACAAATTTGATATAGTTCCTTGTGTCATTTTCACCTAATTGATGCTTATATTAACTTTTTAATGATCTTCAAAATAATTGATTAACTATTAGAATCTCAACCTATCATATGAAGGTTACACTTTTTCTAAAAATTCTTCAAATTAATTGGCCTTTAAAAAACCTTAAACTAGTCCTTAAAGAAGACGAAGTTGTTGATGAGCATTTTTTGCCAATACTTCAGAAATGTATTACCAAAATTGAAAATATATCAGGAAAGGACAGCACACGTTTTTCTAGAATTTAGAATTATACCCTTATTTTAAATAATATGAAGGTTTATAATCAGTCAAAATTTATCAATTAAAATTAATTTATAATATGTTAAAAAAATTTTGTATTTAATTTAGTTAATATTAGTTGAAAACTAAAAATTAGCATGGTGAACATTATAATAAAACTCATTAATTGTTCACAACAATTAGTAGACAGAAGTTTTTAATCCCAATTTTTAGATTAATGCAATCTTTATGAAAATAAATACCCACACTCAAAATTTGATTATCGAAAATACATCCTGCAACACTTTCAACATTTTTCACGATTTTTTTATTTCCAAGTTTTGACTAAAATATTCTTAATTTTTCAACTTATTTTTATATAATTGATACATTAATCTAATTATAATTTAAATTCAATGTCTCAACTATCCTTTTCCCTTACAATTTATAATCAGTTAAATCCTGTATAATTAAAATCCTGATCCTATTACACAATTTTCATTTCTCCAATTACATATCCAAAATTTTTAACATAAATCTTGATTTTGAATATGGATAAAAATGCGCATTTATGGTGTGGTTCTATTTTTAATCAAGTAATATTTAAATAGTTTAAAATCAGCTTCAATTAGTCTAATCATCTTGAAGCGTTTACTTTAATACAAAGTTTTTCTTCATGAAATTACTATAAATCTGATAAATATATTTAAAATTATATAATTGAATTATCAAATTTAAATTATTTTTTAAAATGTTTATTGAATCTTTTTCTTTCTTCATTCCTTCATTCTCTTGAAAAACATAATTTTCAGGATTCTTATATTGAGCAATATTATCAATTTCCATTCGAATCTATTTTTAAAATATTTGATAGTGATTTTAAATTAAGTAAAAAGAGAATTAGAAAGTAATTTGGTAAACTAACCTAACCTGCTTCACGCACACATAATTTTTATTCTCTTTAATGCTTTAAATGATTTAATTTTGAAGAAAGTTTTCTATTTTTAATTTATCTCTGCTTAATACTCGATATCCATTATGATCAGGGGCTTGTTATTAACCAACTGATTTAACTAATTTAAACTAAAATAAGATTATAAATAAATAGCATAAATTCTTATTAAATTAAATGTATGTTAAAAACTTTCATATAAGATTGAGTCGATTTTTGTTCTATATATTCCTGCTTATATTTATATAAAGTTGTAATTAATTATTAGAATCATAAGCTTCCTTTCTTAATGATTGCTTTTGATACATAAGTAAAGAAGAATTTATAACTTTTATGCTCTGATTGCATGGATATATTAGAATTAAAAGTCTAATTAATGACTTGTCTATTCTCAATCACAATAAACTTCCATTAAAAGTAATAAAATTTTGATCCATTACTCTTTTCTTTTATTTTTTTTTTACCACTTAGAAGCTTCAGAAGCAAGTCCTAATTTAATACTCATAGTTCTCTATGTAAATTTAAATTTTCCTTTAGTTAATAAAAAGCTCTTAATTTTCAAAAAAAAAAAATTTAAGTAATATTTCTATTATTTTGATGTTTTGATTTAAAAAAATTAAGAAATCTATTTCTCAGTTTAAATGAAACTGATACATTCACAGACGCCCTTAAGTAAATTAGCAACAATCAAACAACAGACTAACTCTTATCCAGGATTCTTAAGTTTGGTTTCCTTCTAAAATAACTCATCAAAAGTTTTTCCAAGTAAATAGCAATTCATCTGAAATCATAAGTAACTTACATGTAATCGAACCAAATTAAAGATAAATCAAAATTATTAATATGCTTTGAAAAATTTTGTTTAAATAGAAACATTCATAAATTTAATTTTGTATTTTTCAAAAATCTTTAACATTTTATTCATTCATAAGAAAGAAAAAATATTTTTGATTATCTAATTTATGAAACATGTGATTGAAAATGTATAACCTCTTATTTTTGAAGTAAAGGAATAAACATTTAGTAAAGATCAGAATTTAAATTAATTAATAAAAAAATATTTAAGACATATTTAAGAGAAAAAATTATCTTTTTATTTGGTGTGAGATTAAGGAATTTACATTTATTTAAAGTATTTTCATGGCAAAAAAATCAATTAAGAATATATATATTAATATTTATTATAAAATTTCAATCAGTTACATTAAAGTTATCTTATTTATTATATTTTTTAAAATATTAAAGTTAAATTCTAATAAGGATTGAATAAAATAAGAATAATATAGAATTTTTTAAAATGATAATTATTGTTGAATATTTTATCTACATTGGCTTTTTCCTTTTTATTAAAATATTATCTGAAAAATCTTTAAAATTTTAATTTATTATTGCAATAAAATTATGATTTAATTGTTGAAGATAGAGCGAAAAAAACTCTAGAGATAGATGAAGACCCAAAAATTATTGAGTTTGTAGAAGCATGTCCATATTATTCTAATAACCCATTGAATTAGTATAGCTTATTTTTGATTTTATGTATGTACAACAAACATCTAGAATCTTCTAAACTTAAATTATGAACTCTAATCCCTTTCATTGGATATTTCACAAAAAACACAAAAATTTCAACAGATTTCAATTCTAAAACAATTTTTATAATTTTTATTCAAGTGGTGATATTTTGATTAGATAAAATTATCTGACTGCTTAAAAGTAGAATACCAATAATTAATTAAAATTTATGGAAAGTTAAAGTTATTTACTCTTGGTGATTTTATAATAATCGAATGCAAAGGCTATAAAAGAATAAGCACAAGTTGTGTTGTTCACAATAAAGTTAAATTTCTAATATTTCGAAACTATCTAATAAACAATGTATTGTGAATGATGTAATAATGATAATTAAATTTTAGAATATATAATAAAACCCAGTTTCAAAATTAACAAACTTGCCATAAAATCTTGCTTAGTGGTAGTCAGTTAAATATCAAACTCAATTCAATAATTGATTGATTTAATTTTATAAAATTCGAAACAAGTCAAAAAAAAGTTTATATATACATACAATTCTAATATTATAAAATTAATAATTTAAATCTATTTATGGAATTTAAGAGATTATATATTCGTAATATCATAATTTTAATATAAGCTTTTGATGAAATTATATAATCTATTTTAAATAGATGTTAGTTGATTTGATTAAGAAAAAAGTAGAATGAATGTATAACAATAAGTATTAGAATTAATAGAAAAATAGAATATATAACTTGAATAATTTTATTATATATAAAAATGTAAAATAAATTATTAGATAAAGTTTAAGAAGAAAATGCAGCAAACAAGATGAGTAAATTGTTCAAAGGAAATTAGAATGATTATTATGTTTCAATGAAAGAGGAGGATAGTCATTAAATCGAGATGAATAAAATATAAAGGAAAAAAGTATTTTTATCGGGTAGTGAAGATGAAGAAGAAAGATTGCCGACACAAAATATAAAATAGGAAGAAAATAAATGTAAGATTAAATTATTGATAATAGAAATTCAAGTTTATCAGAAACCAGAGAATAGGAATAGTGACATTTTAGATGAAGTACCTACAAAAGAGAATATTGATGGATTGAATGATAGATCATAAGTTGAATTGACAATAAATTTATAAGGAGGAAAAAAGAAAAGTAAAACAAAGAAAAATAAATAAAAAAAGAAAAAAGCGAAACATTAAGCAGTACCATTTAATTGGAATACTTATAAATTCTTATTACACTATCCCTTTTAACATTTAAAATTAACTATATTAGTGAATGTATTGATAGTACTATCTGCAATAGCACAAATGTTATTACCATGGATACTTGGTAGATTGATTGATGCAATCACAAAAAATGTAGAATAAGCTCAAAATTCAGAATCATAAAATAATACTATTGATGAAGAATTGCATTTAACTTTATCAAAACAGTTTTTATATATTTTGGCAACATATACTGTATTATCATTAATAAGAGCATTTGTCAATTAAATTTGGTAAGAATAGATATATAATGATATGAGAGAAGATGTACTAAAGTCTTTTTTATCATTTGATTTAACTTTCTTTCATACTTATAGAAATGGTGAGATAATATCTAGAATGACAAATGATTTACAATCAGCTAAATCAGCTGTAAGTGGAAATATTATTTTATTAATAAGAAATTGTTGTTTAACAATATTTAATATAATAATATTATTTGCATTATCTTGGAAAGTGACTTTAGCAATTTTGGCACCTATGCCTATATATACAGTTGTAGGAACAATCCATACAAAATTAGCAAAAAAGTTTGAAAAATTGGGTTCTGAATATTAAGCTAAATTAACAACTTTAGCAGATTAAATAGTTTCAGGTGTAGTAACAGTAAAAAGTTTTTGTACAGAACAATTTGAAATTAAAAAATTTCATAAACAATTAGATTTAAATATAAAATTAGCTTAAAAACGTGGAGTAAATACAGGATTTTATTAAGCATCTACTGCTTTATTTACTTAATTAGGATCATTGATAGTATTATGGTATGGTGGCAAATTGGCTATGAATAATTCAGCAGAATTATCAGCTGGGTATAATATTGATTATATATTATTAGTGATTTAACTACTATTATATTATACTCTTTACAATTATCTTCATCTAGTTAAGATATAAGTGAATCTTTTGCTAAAATCGTAACTGCTACTGGAGCTTTTGAAGGTGTGCTTGATATGCTTAAATGGGAGTCTCTTGTTAAAGAATCACCTGATGCTATAGATCATATAACTCCAACAGGAGAAATATAATTTAAAAAAGTAGTATTCTCATATCCAAATTCTTAAGTTCAAGTTTTAAAAGGAATATCACTTATAATTAATAAAGGAGAATATGTTGCATTTGTAGGACCTAGTGGTAGTGGTAAATCAACAATCATGCATTTATTGGAAAGATTCTATGATCCATAATCAGGTTCTATTTATTTTGATGATGTAAACATAAAATAGTTCAAACTTAAAACATTAAGAAAATCAATAGGTTTAGTGTCATAAGATCCTGTTTTATTTGAAGGAACTATAGAAACTAATATCATATATGGAACTGAAAATTATACAAAGGATGATTTTGAATGGGCAACCAAAGCAGCAGGAGTTTGGTAATTTGTTTCAGATAAAGGTAAATTTCCTCATGGATTTGATACTTTTGTTGGAGAACATGGTTATACTTTAAGTGGAGGTTAAAAGTAAAGAATTGTTATTGCCAGAGCTTTATTAAAAAGACCTAAAATATTAATATTCGATGAAGCAACATCAGCTCTAGATGCTGAAAGTGAATTTCAAGTTTAATCTGCAATTGATGAATTAATTTAAAAAGGAAGCAAAAACATTACTGTTTTAGTAATAGCTCATAGATTGAGTACTATTGTTAATTGCAATAGGATTATTGTATTATAAAATGGTGTTGTAGCAGAATAAGGAACACATTAAGAATTGCTTAATAATCCTGATGGAATTTATAGACAATTAGTAGAGAGATAAATATCAGGAGTCATTGATTCTAAAGATCATGATGGAGATTCTGAAGCTTAATGATATCATAATTTAGTATTTACAATCAATATTAACTATTTTTTTATGCTATTACAAAAATTAATTATTTTAGAATCTCAATAACAAAACACTAGATATGAAATTAAATTTATTCACAGAAGTACTAAATAAATCATTTAATATTTTTATGAAGAAAATATATGGTTATATATTTGAATTTTTTAAATTTTATTGATTTTATAACATCTACATTTATCATCAGAACTTTTACTCACTTATATAGTTATATAGTAATCATCTATTTTAAACTTTTGGTAAAACTTTTGTTGCAATACTATATCAACAATAATGAATTAATACTCATTTAATTGTAATATTTAGTATATGACATTTATATACTTAATATATTCTTCCTAACTTCTTCATTTAAACATATTTAAATTTTTATAATGTGATTTTACAATCATTGTTAACATCAAATAATTCAAAGCATTCAAGTTTGGTTCAATTCTCATTTTTAATAATAATCCCATTTCAATATTATCTTATCTTTTATTTTCTGATTTGCAGTAGTGTTAATTAAACAATTATATTTTGTTTGATAGTACCAAAAATTGATGCTGGTTTTAGATAACTTTGAATTAAGCCATTTTTATTAGTTGAGTAAATCCATGAAATCGATTGCTTTTTTTTCTGGGAGTATAGAGTATAATTGAATCTTAAACATTATTTTATTACAACTTTTTCTTTTGATAGGTCTAAATTTACAATAGGATTATTTATTCATCTAAATCTCTTCCATTACTGTAATAATTAGTGTTTGGTTTAAAGAGATCTAAAAACTAGACTAATTATTTTCTAAAGTCAATCCTTTATAAAATTAACTCTAAATTTTTTAATCCATTAAATTACATATTAATCATTAATATGCTTAACTTTCTTATAATTGCTTTTTCTTTAGCTTTTTTCACTTATTCATTGAATGCTATCGCTTAAGATATTTATGAAATCCTAAATTTTACAATAAATATATGTTTGTTATATTAAAATTCAATAATAATTTTTTGATTAAATATAATAAATATAGTATATTATTGCTATTTAATAATGCACATAAAGAACATCCCCTTGAACTTCTATCTTTCTTGTCTTAATTATTAACAAATGGTTTAGAATAGAAGCCAGTATTCAGGAGAACTTCCAAATAAGTTCAAAGCTTCTCTAATTCTTGGCATCTTAATTAAATTATCCATGTTTCTGGAATTATAAATTAATCGAAGGCATTTCCATCAACTATATTAATTTGACAAATTAAATAGGTTATGTTTATTGGTAATTTTTCCAAATATAAAGAATTAGAAATTTTATTATATTTGCATATAATTATATATAACCCTTAACTAATAAATGTTATGAATAATAATTGTGCTTATGATGCATCTCTTACTTAGAGATGTCTGTATACCTTACTTGTAAAAGTAAACTGTTGATAGCTTGTATAGATTCTTGAATAATTTTTCTAATTTGTTCATTCATGTTATCAAAATGGATTATAAAAATTAAAGGTTTTCTTTTAAGAATCCATTCTTTTATATTATGGCATCAAAGTATCAACAAATTAATATCCTCCTTAAGTTACTTCTATTCTTCTTCAAAAAGAGATAGAGATTAGACTAAGACAAATAATGAGATAGATTTCAATAATCTTGTTTATTTATACATTTATTAGTTTAAAATAACAAATGTCATTTTTCAATTTAATCCTTTCTTAAAATTTTCTCAAAATATGATACCCTTTCTTTTAGAAATAATAATAATTTTTTAATTTTTATTTAGTTTTTTCAATGGAATAAACTAATTTTAATCAGTTATGAAAATTAAAAAAATCATTTTATAATTATTTGATTATATATTATATGATTTAATAATAGAAAAACAATTACAAGTGTAGGATTCATCCAGAAGAAAATATTTCCTTTTGTTGTCTCAAACCAAATTGCTTTGATGATAGAATGTTTTGCTTTAAATGTTTGAAATTAACATAACATCTCTAACACATGGATGCTGTTAATAAATTTGAAGATGCTGAAATATTTATCAACTAATAAATAAGAAAACTTAGAGAAGTTATTGCAATCACAAAAAATCAGTTTAAACAAACGAAAGAATCCTTTGATATTTTAATTAAAGGATTGGAAGAGAGAGTTTATAGTTTTGAAGCAAATATGAATCAAATGGATATATATTAAATCGAAGAAACACTAACGATCTCATTTTAATTAGAAAAAGTATAATAGACAATTCAATAATCCATTGAAAAATCTATTTCTAAAATAAGAAAAGAAATAGATGATTTATGTCAAAATTGTTAATTAAATATATTTGTTTAGAAGAATGAAATAGTATTACTTAGTATTGGTAAAAAAATTAATAATAAATAAATTAGCAAACTATTTACTCAGTTAATAGGAGCATTAAAAGGCAATCGAATATTATGATGAGTGCTTGAAAATGAATTCTAAAAATGAATAGGCTTTATTTGGCAAAGGTAAGACCTACTTAAATTTTAGGTGACTGCTTAAAAGTCAAACAATAATATATCAAGGCATTAGAGTGTTTTGAAAAAGTTTCATCAATAAATGAACAAGCGTATATTAAATAAGGTAGATAAGTCTTGATTTTTTTAGGAGAATGCTTACAGTATTTAAACAGATTTGATTCTGCCATTTAGGTTTATTAAAAAGCTATATCAATAAATCCTTCTAACTTTTATTCATAATTTAATCTGGGTAAATATTAAAATCATTTAAGGTGCTTGCTTTTAAGAAACCATGAATTTTGCAGAAGCAAAAAAGTGTTTCTAAAAAGTTATTGATTTAAGCACTGATGATGATTATGTACTTCTTGCCAAAAGTATTATTTTATGAAATTTAGGCAAATTATTCTTTTATTAAGGGTAATTAGATTAAACAATAAAACTACTAAATCAAATTTTAGAAAAATCTCCTAGGAATTATCAAGCTTATCATTTTTTATGTATAATTAAATAACCTAATTTCAGTTGAATGCTTATAAGTTGTTGAGGAAAAAGAGGAATTATCAAAAATGGTTGAAAAAATGTTAGAATTTTATCCAGAAGATCTAAAAGCATTATTTATGAAAGGTAATTTATCTATTTTATCTTAAGCAATTACATTACTAAATTTATAAAATTTTATAGAAGCATAAAAGATTGTTGAAAAAATAGGCGAAAATGATTCAGCTTAATGGATGGTTTAACATTTGAAAGGTGTATTATTTGAATGGTATTTTTAGCAATATTTTTATTATTTGAAGATCACTTAGATAAAAGTTTAGAACTTCTTTATTAAAATTTAGCTATAAATCCATAAAACACTTCCATTTTGTTATAAATAGGTGAACTATTTTTCATGATTTTAGGGTTAATCTTAATTTAGTTTAAATAATATGATTAAGCAGAGAAGTTCTATAATGATAGGCTAACTAAAAATCCAAAAGATCTTCTAACTTTATTCTTAAAAGGATAATTGTTANAAAAGGCAATCGAATATTATGATGAGTGCTTGAAAATGAATTCTAAAAATGAATAGGCTTTATTTGGCAAAGGTAAGACCTACTTAAATTTTAGGTGACTGCTTAAAAGTCAAACAATAATATATCAAGGCATTAGAGTGTTTTGAAAAAGTTTCATCAATAAATGAACAAGCGTATATTAAATAAGGTAGATAAGTCTTGATTTTTTTAGGAGAATGCTTACAGTATTTAAACAGATTTGATTCTGCCATTTAGGTTTATTAAAAAGCTATATCAATAAATCCTTCTAACTTTTATTCATAATTTAATCTGGGTAAATATTAAAATCATTTAAGGTGCTTGCTTTTAAGAAACCATGAATTTTGCAGAAGCAAAAAAGTGTTTCTAAAAAGTTATTGATTTAAGCACTGATGATGATTATGTACTTCTTGCCAAAAGTATTATTTTATGAAATTTAGGCAAATTATTCTTTTATTAAGGGTAATTAGATTAAACAATAAAACTACTAAATCAAATTTTAGAAAAATCTCCTAGGAATTATCAAGCTTATCATTTTTTATGTATAATTAAATAACCTAATTTCAGTTGAATGCTTATAAGTTGTTGAGGAAAAAGAGGAATTATCAAAAATGGTTGAAAAAATGTTAGAATTTTATCCAGAAGATCTAAAAGCATTATTTATGAAAGGTAATTTATCTATTTTATCTTAAGCAATTACATTACTAAATTTATAAAATTTTATAGAAGCATAAAAGATTGTTGAAAAAATAGGCGAAAATGATTCAGCTTAATGGATGGTTTAACATTTGAAAGGTGTATTATTTGAATGGTATTTTTAGCAATATTTTTATTATTTGAAGATCACTTAGATAAAAGTTTAGAACTTCTTTATTAAAATTTAGCTATAAATCCATAAAACACTTCCATTTTGTTATAAATAGGTGAACTATTTTTCATGATTTTAGGGTTAATCTTAATTTAGTTTAAATAATATGATTAAGCAGAGAAGTTCTATAATGATAGGCTAACTAAAAATCCAAAAGATCTTCTAACTTTATTCTTAAAAGGATAATTGTTATATAAGTAAAAAAAATATGATGAAGCAGTTTAAATTTATGATTTTTACTTATCAATTGCCTAAGAGAATTTTCAAATTTCATATATGAAAGGTCATTTGTTATTTTAAATTTGTAGCTGAATGTTTAAAAAAATAGAAAAAATACTCAGAAACGATTGAATTTTGTGAAAAAATGCTTGAAATATATCCAGAAAATGAAATATTCATTTAAATTAGAAGTAGCACTAATAAAATATAAAAGATAATGTTTTAGAATTAGTGGTTGATAACAATGAAGAAATTGAAAAGAAGGACATATAATAAAGTGAAGAAGAAGAAAGTGAAGAAGAAGAAGAATAAGAAGAAGAAGAATAAGAAGAAGAGATTGCTAATTCAAAAAAATGATCATCAATCATTAAATAATATATTTGATATAAATATTATAATAATAAGTTCAGCAAAATTATAACGATTTTAATCTTTATATTACTATTTTATTTTTTATGGTTTTTAAAATGAGAACTTAAATTCTTCTCTGAATAAGAAATATAAATAATTATAGTAATCTCGGTCTATTGGCCACACAATTTTGGGAAAAAGCTAATCACTCCACTAAAAACTATTTAAAAAATTAGAAGATTTTATTATTAGAATTACAAAAACAGTAATAATAATCCAGTTTTGATAATTTAAATAAAAGTCATCCATCATAAAATACACAACCATATTAGAATAAATACAAACAATAATTTGTCCTTATTTGTAATGAAACAAACTTTCATTATACAACTTTAGGGTTATTCTATATCCTAATGCTTAGAAGATAAAAAAAAGATTAAAATGCCTATTAGTTATTTAAATAAATTATTTTTATAATTTGCTATAAAAATACGGAAGTAACAATAAATTTTTAACCGCCTGTAAATCTACTTAATTGTTCCAAAAAAATTAGAAGTTAAACAAAATATAACCAGACTTACTTAAACTTTTTATTATCTTAAGCCAACAATCTTTCCCGTTTATTTTTAGTGAATACATTGACAACAAACAATTTTTTAATGAAAATTTTTATTCTCTCTTTTCAATTTTGAAAAAATTTTTTCAAATTGTTTAAATCTTCCCTTAATCTCATTCTAATATTAGACATTTGTTGTTCAATGTAATACTGAAACTTTATGTTGGTTATATTTTTTATTTGAAATGGAAAAAATTCAATTGTTATTAAATTTAATTCTAATTAATGATTATTTTTTAAAAAGCTATGCGCAAAATTACCAATAAAGAAAGCTTATCTATTTTAATAAATTGCCAAAAATTTATTTGTGAAATTTTTATGATTAATCTTTCCTAATTCTTCTTCTTGAAATTATGAACCCAAGAATATCCATAAAGTTAATAGTTAAAAAGATAATATTATTTTAGTAGTCATTATATATAATTTTATTTATTGTTTTATAACACGATTTAGAAATTGTGTAAGGTGGAATAAATATCTTGAATGCAATAAGTAACTGAAGGTATTTTTGGATAAATAAATTTATATTCTATTAATTGATAGGTTTAATGAGTATTTCAAATATGACAACTATACAATTATCTTCTCTCAGAAACTTTAAGGATTTAATAAATTTGAAGATAATTAATTAAAAAAAATCATAAAGTTTATATAGAAAAATATATAAGAAACCTTATTTCAATAGTAAAATCAATATTTTTTATTGAATTGAAAATTTGAAATTTATAATTTTTAACCTTTGTTCTTTCAAATAAATTTTTAATGTTGGATAATTTTCTAAAAATAATTAATCTGGAGAGTTGGTTTTATCAATTTTACTCACTCTTTTATTTGAGAACTTTTTAAGAAAATTTTTAGAGTTATGAAAATTTATTTTTATGAATAACAATAAAATAAGTTATTATTTCTCAATTTTTAGATTTGTAATAACAATAACAATAACCAGATTTCAAAAACTAATAAATTAATTTATTCTAAATTTTATGAAGCTTAATCGGTCTAAACTTATATTTTTCATTTATAATAATAGGTGTAGACGGCCGATGAATTAATAAAATTTTTAATGCTTGTTTAAAAATAATTTTTCTGTTTATTCATAAAATCTTCTTTAAAAAAATTAGTTTTATCATCCTAAATTATAAATTTATAATTTTACATTAATTATAATTTCATAATAATCAATTTTAATATCATCATAAAGATTCAATAGAATTTAAGTTGCCATCACTATTTAAAAATTTGAATACCCAATTGATGTGGTATATTTGTTTGAGCAATTTTCAAATGTTTCTAAATTGAATTATTATTATTTTTCTTTATTTAATTTATAAAAATTGATAGATTCAAAAGGATATGACTTTTAATAATTGATTAAATATTTTGTTAAAACAAAAGCAATTATTGATTTGCTATACCCAAATAAATTTCATATTTTGATAATAATTTCAAAATCAAATAATTGATAGCTTTAAAAATTGTTGTATCATTGATATAAAATTTATTTAGATATAATAATACATTTATAAATAATCCAACTCATAAGATGATCAGACTTAACAAAAATTCTTTATCTCAATAAATAATACCAGACTTACACAGAAATTTCTATTTCCATTATCAGCTAAAAATAATCATCTATATTTTAATAAAGTTAAAGAATTTTTATTTAATAAATACCAATTATCAAATTTTTATATTCTTTGAAAGTTCAATATTTATAAGGGATTTTATTCCAACATTTTTATATCTATTGCATAAAAATAATATTTGATGCTTTAAATCGATATTGAAGAAAAAATGTTTGAAATGAAAAATTTTTAAATAAAACATACTAGTTTTAATTAAATTTTTCAATTGGTAATTCTAGAATCTAAATAAATGAGAATCAAGTTGTTCAAGAACTAATTGGTTTAATTTCTTATAATCATAGAATTTTAAAATAGTTTATTTGTAAAAATAGACAATTTTATTATCAAAGAAGATAATAAATAAATATTTTGGGTCATTAAATGATTTGATATATTCATATTTGATGATAATGAATTGGAATTTTATGTGAATGAAAAGCAAAATAGTTTTTATTTTCCTAAAATAATAATTTTAATTTTGTTTTCTTTATTGCTTTTGTTGTTGGTATAATGCATTTGGTGCTAGCTTAGATATATTTTCAAATGCAGCAAGAATTAATGAAAGAATGATTGAATAACATGATTTCTGATTTTGATGAAGGTAAGATTCACAGTGTACTTAATTAATTTAACTAAAGTTTTGAGGCTACATAACTTTTGTCAATGAAAGGCAAGGTATTGATCTAAGTGAATTTCTTTCTTTATTTTGAAGTTAATTAAATTATATATCAAAATATAATTATATAAATATGTTTCATTTTATTATAATTATTAAAAAAATTAATAAATTTTGTAGTTTCATCTATCTTCTCTAATTTTAAATCTAAATCACTACATGAAATTATACAATCGTACCTGAGCCTTTTTTCTGTAGAATATTTCCTATTTTTTTTATCAATTAAGAAATCTGCCATCAATTGTTTATTAATTGATGTAATTTGACTTTTATAGTATTATTCAAATATTTCCCAAATTCATTATCTTCTTATGAACCTTAATGGAATTATCATAATTTTTGTTTGGTTTTTTTATTTTTCAGTTAATTTAAAAAACACAAATTTCAAATGGAAAATGAAGAAGAATAGATATTTTAGAATGAATAGGTTAAATAATTGAAATGAACCATTTTATAAAAACAATATATAAATATATCTTTATATGTTATAAATTAAATGATTTTTATAATTCATTTGTTTATATCTACTTGGTGCTTTATCAAATATGATAAAGGGCTTAATACTAACTTTAATAGTTAGCTGCAGAGTAGTTTTAAGTGTTATAACTCATACCAATAAACGTAAACGATTTCATTCTCGGGAACATTTTAAAATATACCAAAAGTTTTTTTACAATAAAATTTGGCTGATTGGGAATCGGGAAATGGTGAGTTTCAATTATCAATCACAAGTGTTAGCTTAACAAGTAATTATGTCTTATCATTCAGATTTTATGGTCTAAATTGTATGTCCAACAACCGTCAGGGTACATAAACTTTAATTATAATGGTATGCAATCGATGATGAGAGAGTATAAGTGATAAATGCATTTAATATTGCTAATCCAACCTAATCAACAATCTATTAGCATCCAAATGCTAACGTAGAAAAAGCTATAATATTTCTTACAAGCCTAGGTTATTATGGAGCACTTGAGTTTGTTTTATCAGTATTAATACATTATATATATAGATATCAAGCATAACTAAAACAACTGTAACTGTCAGTATATCTAATCCATCTTCAAAGTTTGCAAATATACGTTCAATTGGATATTAAATTGTTCTTGGAACAAATGAAGTTTTTGATATTCTTGGCATTTAAACAGTTACAACCTCATCTTACAATAGTGGAAATCTTAACTTATAAAATAATAAATGGTTATAAACACCTATTATTGGACTAAATTACCCCAATAACTATTATTTGTAATTTAGATGGACCTAAACAACTACTGCAACAACTATTTCATATACAGTAAATTCCTGTAAAAATAATAATTATTTTTAAAGGGGATACTCTTGTAAAGCATACCCATCAAAAAGTATGGATGTCTTATATAATAAATACAATTTATTTACCTTTAGAAATTTAAACTGTAAGAATTTCTTAAAAATACGATTTGGAAGCATTAAATAGACCAACCATATACACACAACTACCATAATCAGATGAAATTTTTAATTAAATTGGTACATTTAATGTAATAGTTGATAAATAATATTCACCAGTACTTATTAATGTCATCTTCAAATGTTCATAAGGTAAAAAAATTAAAAGCTAATTTAACAAATGTAATAGTTGTCCAATGTAAAAAATTAAGATCTTTAATCATTATTGCCATAACAATATCAATTAAATATCTTATTTTCCTAAATATATATCAACTATTTAAGCTCATGAAGAATTGAAAATAACTATTAGTTCTACAAAGATTACTATTAACCAAATAACTTATAATGAAGTCATTACAGAAACTAGCATTCTAGATATAGAACTATTAAATACATGAAATATTTATTTTTAAAATAATGAAAAAATTAAAAATTAAGAAATTTACAAATATTTTTATTATTTAAATTTTATATATAATAATAAAATTTATTTTACAATAGAACTTTTTTATCTTGATAATTTTAAGATTCTGATAATTATTTTAAATTATTTACTATCATTTTGCTTTTCTAATTAGTAATTAATTAAACCAGTCTCCTTTTGAAAAATAATTAAAAGAACTAAAATTTAGTATTTATCCGTAATTTACACTTTTATAGTATGAAATACTTTTCACGCAAAAAAATATAAAACTATATTTTATCTTAAACTTTTATTTATTAATAAAGACTTGCAATTTCTGAAATATAAATAATGATATAATATAAAGACATATCATACACTATCAAGATAGATTTATAATTACAACTCTCCTGTATTAATATAAAAAGTGGTGCACACAAAATACATAAATTTAGTAAGCTAATTATCTAAAACCTAATAATTTCTGTTTTAAATATATAAATTTTTGGAATATTTAGTTTTCTAAAATTTTAGTCTATATCAAAGATTTCAAAAATTTATAGGATTATCTCTGGGAAAAATATAATTATTATATTTAAGTAAAAATTTTTAAATAATTCTAAAATTTTTTGAAACAAATAAAACACTACAGGGTCAAAAATAATTTTTTTGTAAATTGTAGAAATTTTTATTTAAAATATCAATAATTTTAAGCTTAATAATTGTTAAATTGAAATTATAAATAAAACGTGAAACTTTAGGATTTAAAAAGAAATGAAAGGTTTTTTAAAGCGCTTATTAAGAAACTTTTATTTATCCATAAATGTGACTATTTCATAATGTTTGAAAATATTTGTAGCTATTATTGAATTCTAAGAAAAATTGAAATTTGTAAATTCTATTATTTAAAGAAATTTCAACCTAAAGGAATTTATGTACATAAATTTAATTATTAATATAATAATTTCATTTGTATTTATGGATTTGCTAGATTTATGGACAAAACTTCATTGTCTAGAATCAAGATTATATAATTTAAAAAATCGATTTAGAAATATCAAAGGTTAATTTTTTTATGTTTTACTAATAATAAATTTTTTACTCATAATTCACAAATTGAAAAATGAATTAGCAACAATCATATTGAATAAAATGATTGAGATGTTTTTATTTATTTAAATTTATATTTATAAATAAAATAATAAAATTAAGAATATATTTGAATTGATAAATTTAATATTTATCAAATTAATATAGTATAAAATTTTCTGGATTAATCCTCTCATCTTAATAAAAATTACTGAATTAAATTGAAATATATTTTTTTTAGTAAAACTGCTTGATTTATAATTATAATCGCTACTAAGAACCATCATCACTCATACTCCAATATAAATTTAGTTTAAAAATTCCTGTTTCCACCATTGATTTAATATTTAATTTATTGATCGGTTTTATCCTTCGAGTTTCAAGTATCTAAAACTCTGTTAATAGATAATTTAAAAACTATAAGATATCAAGTACCTAGTTGATAATTATCATTAGCTTAAGAACTATCTATAGTCAACTCTTTATTAAAATACTTGAATTCAAAATAAAACCTCTCGTGTAAATCTTTTTACTATCCAGAAAGCAAATTATGGATTAATTGCAAATTATTTACGATATAATACCTTATCCAAAAATTCTATTTTTTTCTCAAATTGTCAGAAAATTAAAATCTTAACCTCCTTTCTTATTAAAATCGTGATCAATTATTTTTTCACAGCTAAAAGCCAGAATTTCAAAGAGAGATTTCAAAGATAAAATTATTCTGTATGAACAATACAAATAAGGTTTTTAAATTAAAATAAACAATTTATCAAAGCTTTTACTATTTATAACCTAAAATTTTAGATACATTTTTTTTGTTATATTCCTAATTTAATCCAGTTAATATTTATTTGAGAAATATTAATATATCAATATTTTTTATTTAATTCATTAAATCAATCTAGATTAGAGATTTAATTTTATTACTTAAGAATTCTTATAGTAATTTATTATAAATATTTCTAATTATTCCTTTAATTTTTTCACTTAGATCTATATTAAATTCTACCCAAAATACCCTCTTAATTTTATCTAGTTTATCCTTTAAAATATATCAAAAAATTCATCAAATTGATAATCTGAATCAATAAAAACAAAGTGTTAAATAAATTAAAATATATTGAAGAAGTCAGCTCCAATAAAGTAAAAATAATGAGTATAATATATTAAAATTTGAAACCTAATTATTATAAATTATTTTCTTATTTTAAATTAAATTTATAAACATTTATAAAAAGTTTATAATTTGATTGCTGTTTGGACAAAGTATTTATCAAATTAAAAAAATACATTTTTATCTTTCTAATAAATATCTATAATTGCATACTTAATTATTGTAGCTATTTATAAATCCAATAATTAAAGTTGTTATTTAAAAAATTTAGCTAAATAGATTGCTAGAAATAAAGCTGTAAATAAGTTTAGAAAATAACCGTAAACCAATATTTAAATTTAATTATAGTTCAATATGAATAATATTAAAAAAATAAAAGAATAATAAAAATCTTAGATAAAAAAATGAAAACTTGAATAAGCTCTTTTTTTCTATAAATACTTTAGATAAAACAATTAAAAAAATTCTTGCAAATTTATTAAAAGAAAATTGAAAGTTCAAAAAGTTCGATATTTTAACAAAATATAGAAGCTCGAGGAGAATTAGCAATAAAAATTGATAAATCATCATAATGAAAAAAATTCTCAATTATGAAAAAGTCTTTTATAAAAAAAATAGAATTTGATATTTTAAAATAAATTAGTAAAAGCAAATTTTAATATTTAATAATTATATATTTATAGTAAATAAGTAAAGTAAGAGTTAAGCATTTTCAAAAAAAGTGTAGAATAAAACTTTTGTTTCATTAAAATTAAATAAAATAATCAAAAATGGTATGAAAGAACGACAAACGAAAAATTAACATTATGTCTATTAAAAGTGTCTAAAACTACACCATTTTAGTGATTTTAAAAAATAGAAATAGTAATTCAGGTTAAATAGGCTGTTTTTAACTGTTATTCTGTACTACTTTTTAATAATTCCCTATTTGCTGATAAAAATTTTAAAATCAATAATAAGTAATAAAGAGAAAAAAAACTAAAATAGATAATTTTTTTCAGAGAATCTACAAAATCTTAATATTGGATATTAACTAAAATTGATGAGTTTTAAAATTAGTAACTTAAATTTTAAATTGAATTTATAATTTTTTAGGATAGGAAATTGAATTTTTAATAATTAAGGTGAATACCAAGATTGCTGATTGATATATCATTCTCCAATTTCCAATATTTGCGGTTCCTCCTAATTAAATGTTAAGGCTTCTTCTACAAAGTTATTACTGTTTGTTTCTTTTGTTTCTTTTGTTTAAATTTTTAATTAATCTTAAAAAATCTAAAATCATTAAAATTATACTTGTCCTAAATCTTTTTGAACTTTATCTTTATTTTCCTGAGGAATTTAATCATAATCACAATTAATTGGTTGGCAAAATTCTTATTCTAAAAGTTAATTATCTAATTCATAATTTATTTGATATTCACAATCAAATTGGCATTTATTTTTATTTAAATTACTTTTTGTTTCCATAACTATTTTATCTGGGTTTTTACTTTCATTACTTTATTCAGTAAACAATTTCTTTCTTTTGTTCTAATTTGCATTATTATATTGCGAGTATAATCCTATTTGTTGGTTTGTTAGTAATATTATTAAAGATATTTCAAAGGAGCTATTACTAAAATTCATTATTTATTAAAATATATTAATGAATAAAGTAAGATTATAGAAGCATTAAATATAAAATATTCTTTACTAAATTCTGCGTTAAGATTATATAATTATAATTACAAAATCAGTTCCTTTTCATTTATTTGTACAAAATATATCCAATCATAATTGCAAATACAATTAATAAAATAATGATACAATTTTATTTAATTTTATTAAAACAAACTTCATGTTAATTTTAATTTAAAGATTCAATTTAAGAATCAGAATTAAATTAAAATGAATTAACATAAGAAATTATTTCATCAGAGGAAGAAAACTCTTTATTTTTTAAACTGAAAATCAAATTGGTTAAAAAAGCTAAATTAAATTAATCCTTTTTGAGAATAGATACTAATAGTTTTCCAAATTAATACAATTATTTATCGCCTACAGTATTAATTATTATTTAACAATCTTTTTGTTAATTTTTTTTTAAAGCTAAAGCAAATGCCAATAATTAGATTAATAATTTTAAAAAAGGATCACCCCTGAATATACCACATCCCCATCTTCCTGTTGATATAGGAAATCTTGGAGCATTTTTTATAGCTAATTCAAATCCAGCATAAGATTTTAATAATTCACGATTTATATTTTACTCTAAAAATTGATTTTCAAATTAAGAAAAATGCTTAGCATCAATAGCCTAATATAAGAAATATACATACAAGTATATTATAGAAGGAACGAACATTTATTTCTTAAGGCACAAATTAAAAAGATTTTTCATATCCCTTATAATGGTTATACTTAATAAGATCTTATATCAAGACAGCTTGATTTTATTTCATAGGTGGTATAAATAACATACAAACTAAGGCTTCTGTAAAGACAAGCATAAGAATCTAAATTAATTTATATAGTATACTTCTTCTTAAGCACAATTATACTCATCTAAAGTTAATCCTCCAATATTTTCATCAGCAAAATCAACAACTGTTGAATTTTAATGATCTTCATTTTTTTCAGATTCAGTTAATTTTATATCTAATTAAATTTCATATTATTTTTGGCTTTATAAAGTTTCAAATTCATTTTCATTAATTGAATTTCTAATAAATTTTACAAGTTATGAACCAATAATATTTTTATTTAAAAAGAAGAAACGTATGTAATTTTTAATGCATTAAAGCTTTGCATAAATAAGACTGTTATTTCTATACATATTTTTAAGTTTTTCCATATTTACTAAATAAAAATTATGTGAAGAGTAACAATTTTTCTTGATCATGTTAAAGTACATCATCATTATTAGTGTAAAAATCTATTCTCTTGATAATGTAAGATAGTCTTCCTTTTAAAATTTAGTAATATTGTCATTAAGTAATTATTTTAAGCGATCTTAATCTATTAGAATCTAATAGATATAATGTTCCAATCCTTTTAATTCTAAAAAAAGATCTTTAAGTATTTCATCTTAATTTAATATTTATCTCAACATTCCAGGAGTTATAGGCTAAGTAATATCATAATCTAAATTCATTATTAATAGAATTTATATAATAATTATGAATATATTATTATTAGTTAATAAATAAATAAAGAGAATAGTAAATTTTCAATCAAAAAAAGTATCTAATTATTTCTAAATTAGAGTGCAATCATGTTAATTAAATTAGACTGGTATTTCTTACCTGAAAAAATAGAGAAACAATGTTTAATTTTCATATTTTGAGTGAAACTAAAATAAAATAAAATTAAATTATTACCCAACCATGAATTGGATAGTTAGCTTCATATATTCCTCTTCCTTAAATACAATTATTTCTAAATTCACCAATATATCTTGAATTATCATTAAAAATAAGTTCTCCATTACCATGCATCTTTCCCTTATGTAAATTGCCTTTGTAAACACAACCATTTGCAAATTCAAATTTACCTTAACCATGAATTTTGCCATCTTAAAATTATCCAACATAGATTGTCCCATTTTTACGTATTTCAGTGCCTTCTCCAATTAATTTATTATTAAACCAAAATCCTCTCATTTCTTTTCTTTAATTCACAAATTTGCCTTAACCATTTGCCATATTATTAACAAAATTTCCATCAAAACTAAACAATTATCAATATAATATAATACTAATCTCCATTTGGATAAATCATTCTTGCTCTTCCATTTAATTGATTATCGATCCAAGTCCTTATAAAGTTTATACAATAAAATATACCCTTCCATAAAATTCCCTTCTCTTTACCAATGTTGTTTTCCTTATCCATTTCTTTTACCATTTGATATTTAACCAAAATAAATACTTTAATCAGGCATCATTAAGTATTGACCTTATAGATTAGGAAATAAATCTCCTAATTCTTCATATACTTTTTAAACATTAGGATGCAATTCTCCTATACTGCTTAGATTTATTCCTATCTATAAATATTAATCTTAAGAATCAGATAGGTCTAAATCAGTCAAAAGAGTTGTTTGATTTACTAAAATTATTTTACATCATGTACTTGAATCGGGTAATTTTATGTTGAACTGCTTCATATGATGATCCTTTTGTTATATACATCCCATTTTTTAATATTCAATTTTGATAAAATAAAATGATCATAAATTAGAATACATGAAGTTAAATCAACTCTTTAATTAAAGAATTGAATATTCTCGATCAATGTTCTGAGAAGAAGATTTAATATTTAGAATTTTTGTTTGTTTATAATTTGTATATGTAATATAATTTAATCTGAATGTATAGAAATTATAATATACAAACATTTTTGTCAAAAAAATGATTAAATTTAAATATATTGAATAAATATCAATTAATATTGTATTATTTATGATGCATTGTTGTAACTGCATAATATTAGAAATTTACTGAAATGTTTAAGTATAATAATATTATGAAATGATAAATAAATTAGAATAATATATAAAAATATAATTTGAATGAGTTTATCTAGGAATGGATCTAAGCTATCAAGACATGATCGAATTACAAATTCTTAGATAATAGATTTAAAGAAGAGTAAATTATATTCATCTTCAAGCAAGAATTCTGATCAACCAGGTGGATTTTTTCTTAGTTTAGCAAATGTAAAAGCACCAGATTATGGATAAGGACAATTATTGAATAATGATGCTTTGAAAAATAAAATAAAGGAGAAGAGAAATTAAAGATCAATGGATAATGATTCTATGTTGAATAAATTAGTAACTAAAGTTGAGAATAAATTGATTTCATCGCCATTAAAAAAAAAAGTAATTGCAATTGATCCCAAAATTGAATTACCTACTCAAATGAAATCATATTCCCTTACTCCTTAATCTCGACTATAATAGTTTCGTATATCAAGTCCTTCTTCAAAGCCTAGATCATAGAGTTAAAACAAAAGAAATGAAATCTATTATCTAAGTAAACTCTAAAAGGCATTTGATACTAATGGTTCTGATTATATCTCTCGTATGTATCGTGAACATTTCCATTAAACTTATTAGGGCTTAAATTGTAAGTTTTTTCCTCAAAATAATAATGACTATAATCGATCTCATAAAATACCCAAAAAAAATTAAAGTAAATTAAATCATAACCAAATAAGGATAAATTACTTTGTTTTTTGATTTAGATGAAACTTTAGTACATTGTAATGAAACACCCTCTTTACCTTGTGATGTACTTTTAGAAATTAATGTTTCTAAACATCAAACAGTAAGAGCAGGAATTAATGTCAGACCTTATGCAAAAGAAATGTTAAAAAATCTCTCAAATTATTTTGAAATAATTATCTTTACTGCTTCTCACAGTTGCTATGCAGAAAAGGTAATAGAAATATTTAATTAGGTTTGCAACTACTTAGATCCAGATTAAACAATTGTAAGTCACCGATTATTTCGAGATAGTTGTACTTAAACGAATAGTTCTCTGTACACTAAAGATTTGAGAATATTTTGTGATAGCACAAATAGACAATTAAATTAAGTTGCTTTGATAGACAATGCATCTTATTCATATGCATGGCAAATAGATAATGGAATACCTATAATTCCATTCTATGATAATAAAGAGGATAAAGAATTGATAGAGTTGGAAAAATATTTAAAAAATATGATAGGCGTATCTGATATAAGAGAATATAATAGAAACAATTTGAAATTACATTATTTTGTGGATCACCGTGGACCTTACAAAGTATTAGAAAATCTATTTGGTAGGCCACAATAACTTTAATGAGTATTAAAAGATTATCAATAAATAAATTCAATGTTTTTTTCTTAATTTAGCATCAGATCTTTGTTATTCTTCCATTTTGATTTTGATTTTCATAGCTAAATGAAAGTTTGATGTTTTCCATGCAATCAAATCTTCTCTAAAATTCGAATCAGATGGTAAAGGATTACTAAGTATGATGAGTTGAATAAATACTCTTCATCCTCTAATATATAAGGTTGAGTATTAATATTCCATATTTCTTAATTATCAATAAACATATTTTTATGCCAGATTCCATTAATATTTGAAATTGATCTAACAATTTCATTTTATTTTAATTCTTTAAATTTGAGATATCCATCATTTTAGAATCTTTTAATAAATTGATCATTAACTTCATAGATAAAACCTTCAAAATAATCATCTAAATGATCTCTTCTTTATTTCCAAATTGAACTTGGATAGGGATTCAATTTGATTTCAGCTACTAATTTGTGTTTCAAATCAATAACATGAAATTTACCAACCATTTAGAATAGTTTATTACCATACAATGTACCAGTATATAATCCAGAACAAGGTAAGAAAATGAATTCATTATTAGATTCATAGAATAATACTTTTGTATATCCTTAATTGATTCCACTAACTGAATTAGCAGATATACTAGCTATAGTACATAAACGATGATTTACTCTATTATTATAATATAGATTCTATACCTATATCCTTTTCCATATATTAATAAATTACTAATTGGTGGATGATGTGATACTTATTCTCCATAAATAGGACATCCATTAATAAATCCAGAATATGTTTCACCCAGTATAGGATTAAATGGTTTCCACATATTCAAATAAAGAATTATTGTACCATATCCATATGATAAGAAGTTTTTAAATTAAAATAAATAATCTATTTAAACTGCTGCTTCATCTAAATATTATAAATAAGTTAATGAATTTGCATATCTCTACAAATTACTTTATTTTTCAAATACATAAACTGGTAAACTAATACTCATTATAGACTTACCAGAAGCTATATTACATCCTATTTATGACAACAAGTAAGAAAATACTTTTCTCTATTCTCTTAATCCAACTTAATCTACATATAATAAACCACCTTAATTTTAATCTACTTTCCAATCATTTTTTAATAAGAAATGACCTTCTGAAGTACTTTTCATGAACTTTTACTCTACTTAAATTGGCTCCATTTAAAATTATTTTTTCAAACATGCATTCCAATGTTTGTTTTCTTAAACAAACTCTAAAAGTTCCATTATATTGTTTGGAACTCTCCTTTCTAATTCAATTGATTAATCAATTTTTTATATAATAAGATCTTCTGATTTATTTGACAATTACATATTAAGAGTTTAAATTTGTTATTAATCAAAATTAAGATCTCTAAAATTTATTATATAATCAATATAGTCTTTTAAACCATGATATTATTCCATATATGCAATATTTTAAGTATCTAAAAAGATATTTTCATCTAATTAACATAGAATCTAAACAATTGTTGATTATGTTAATAAATCATTAGAATTATTTTGATTTCTTTATTATAATCCATTATATAATGAATTTTTTGTTTTTTTGAATAATTTAGCTATTGAATATATAGGATTAAGTGTATTAAGTTATTTTTCTATAATACACTCTTATGACTTATGTCTCATTAGATATATTTATTTTTCTCTGCCATAACCAAATATTGATTAGATTCTAGTTTAATCTACAACCTTATAATCTTCATAATCAAACATTGTCCACTCTTTTATTATAAATTTATTGAATCCAAATCCTTCATAAAGAAAATGTTTTACTATATCTATATCATGTTCTAAAATAATCTGAACTTAATACAATCCTTTTTTAGATACACTTTTATATACATTATTTCCTACTTTATAAAACTCTCCTTATTTAAATTTATTTACAGTCACATCACACAAATACCAAGGTATATTTGTTAATTTTGGAATACATTCTTTTATATTCTATGGAATTTATGCATTGAATTAGCTTTTATCTTCTTCTTTGAAACAAGTGAAAGTCTCTTACGAATCCTTTTTTTAGTTATCTGGAGACTCAGACTATTCCAATATTCTTTACATATCCTTTTTCTCTGGTTTAGAAGATAAACAACTTTCATTATAATTATCACTTTTGCTTAAGTCGAATTAATCAGATTTAGTTAATGCAGAATTACCAATCATTTATTTTGTAAATTCAACACTCATCCTTCTTTGTTTTTTAGATTTTGAATCACATATACCATTTAATAGATTAAACCATTTCTTTGCATATTCTTCATCATCAGAACCCAATATCAATTACTTATAATAATCATATATTGCTTAACTATGTGCTAATAAAATAAAACAATAATGTAAACTCTTGATTTTCTTCTATCCTACCCATATTATTCCATATTTTTATAATTACATTTCTACATTACCCTCTTTTCTAGGCACTATTAACTTTTTATGAGTTAAATTCAATTCTAATTTCTTTGTTCTCCATATTCCTAACATCTCTCCTTTTACATGTAATTCTCCAAATATTTTTGAATCATCCTCTAATTCTAAACTTTTAAACACTGAACAAAACATGCTCTTTTATGCTTCAATTGGTAAATTAAATAATCCTTATATTTCATCTATTTCTAAGTCAGGATAATTTTCAGGATTTATTTCAATTTCAGTATTTACATTATTCTTTATTGAAAATATCAGAAAGTTTAATTTCTATCTTTATTCTTCAGGTATATTTGATTCTATTCTCAAATATTTCTAATAATATTCCTCAAACATATTCTCAAAACGACTTTAATTATATTACTTTTATTTATTTTTTCACAACTATTTAACATAAATTGATGAAAAGTGTAAAATTATTATGCTAATATAATTCCATTTAATAAATCTAATTATTATTATTTTATTCATTTCCATTTTCTCTCAAATTACTTACTAAATTAATAAATATATACTTATCACTTTATTTTTAATTAAAACATTCTATATATATTCTTTAAATAATTTCATCTTAAAAACAATATATCTGATTTGTTTATATTAAACACTATTTAAGAACTAAAAGTATCAGAAAATATCTTCAAAAAATAATAAAGGAACTCTAATTTAGAAACTTAATTGTCTATTAACAAAAATTGATAAACAAGCTAGAAAGTTTCAAGGAAAAAATTTGCTCAAACCTAATATAAATGTTTAAAAGATAATATTCATAAGGCAAATGTTGAGAATGATTTTTATGTTTCATCCAAAAATAACATAATTTTTTTCATTAAAATCATAGGATAACGATTTTAATACGAGCACTTTTAAATTAAAAAATTAGACTTCTTAATAACTTCATAATGCTATTCTTATCAGATTTACAAAAAATTGAAGCTTACATTACTTTCTAGATATCCATCAAGGATATTCATAAATAATCTCATTTATAAATAAAGTTATGCAAAGTTCAATTGACAAATAAATATCATATTGAATTATAAAGAAGTCATAAATGAGAAATTTAATTAGTTTTTGTATTGGAGATCTCTTTCATAAAGGTATAATTTAAAAATAACATTTCCTATCAGGTTTTCTAATTAAAAGGAGCTAGAATTTAGTCTGTAACTAAAAGAAAATACATAAGGTAATAAATTTTGTGAAGAGAATAATCTGAGATTATTGATCTAAATACCATATAATATATTTATTATTTATTATAAAAAAAATTATTTTGATTTTTTATTAAATTAACAAAATTTGATTAAATGATAAATTTTATTTTGTTTATTTTATTAATAATTTATATTTAAATATATATTATCAAAAACAAAATGGTATAAATTTTAATAATTCATAAAGTGATAAAATAAATGAAAATCTCATAAATTATTGAAAAATAACGATTATATTTTGATCTTATTATCTTTTTAAACACTGAAATAACTGATAGATATGTTTTTAATTAGAATTCGGTTTGTTTGATGTTTTTGTTTTATATTAAAATAAAAAATAATTTTAAGGAGATAAATACAAAACTAAAATTTACTGATAACCTTTAATTGAAAACAAAAGATCTCAATTGAACGATATGATTGAAAGAGTATTCATTTGATGATAGATTTATTTTTTTTTTGGTGATGTAGGTTTTAAAAAAATGAATTTATTCAAATGAAAGAAAACCTTATAAAATATGAAAAGACGTTTTTTAGTGGCTCATATAATGAATTATGATAAGATGATAATATAAGTAATTGTAAATTTGAAAAAGAAAGATGAGTATATTTTAATATGAACTAAAATGAATAAGGAATGGGAGTATTATTAAGTAATTTAAGTATTTAAATAATGATATACAAATAAAATTGTTGATGAAAGTGATGGTGATTGAGAATAAATAGAGAGAACTTTAAAAAGGAATATTTGATTATGATAAATAATTGAGATTTTGATTAATAGATTTGTAAATTGAAAGTATTTTTTTGTTAAGGAATTGTAATAATATTAACAATTCATTATTGTGATAAAAAATACAATAATTTTATATTGAATAATGACAGAAGAGTGGACAACAAAATAGATTGATAAATACATAATAGTGAATAAAAAGTTAGGAAGTGGAGCATTTGGAACAGTGTATCGAGGATTCAAAAAAAATGATGAAACAAAGCAAGTGGCTGTAAAAGCAATATCAATAGCTGTAAGATAATAAGAATAATGATTTTAGAGTATAAAAGACTCAGCGAAGATGGTTGAGCATATAAAAAGAGAGATATCAATATTGTAATAGGCAAATAATGCTCATATAGTAAAATTATTTGATGTTGCAAGAACACCACATTATTTATATTTATTTTTAGAATATTGTCATGATGGTGATTTGAAGAAATACTTATCGACAAAATATGGAAGGAGATTAAGTGAAGTATTATGATATATTTTAATTTTATAGGTGGAAGCAGTTATCTTTTTAAAGCATTTAGTAGAAGGATTTAAGACATTATATTAATTAAAAATAATACATAGAGATATTAAACCTGCAAATATATTATTACATCATGGAGTAGCTAAAATTACTGATTTTGGATTTGCTAGAGTGATAGATACTGGAATGAATGGTATATTATAAATAAAACAGATAGATCCTGCATATTTTTCAAGAGTAGGATCTCCTTTATATATGGCACCATAAATATTAGAAGGATAACCGTTTTCTTCAAAATGTGATGTATGGTCTATGGGAGTCATGTTATTTGAAATGTTATATGGAAAACCTCCTTGGGATGGAGACAATCAATATAATTTACTTTAGAATATTAAAAAAACTGTTCTTGTAATACCAGAAGCACCTGTTAGAAGCGATAAAATTAAATAATTATTAAGACATATGTTAGTTGTCTAAGAAAAAGTAATATTTTATTTATATTTATTATTATTTTAGGATAGATATTCATGGGAATAAATTTTTAATCATGAAATTATTTAAATTTAAGAAGCTTAAATCAAAAATAATTTAGAATAATTAATGAAAGAAAAAGATGAATTATCACGTTCAGAAAGTCTTAATAAATTATACTTTGAAATGAACTTAGTTGTTGGTTATTTAGATTAAATGGAATAAATTGTATAAGAACCTTAAACTCCATAATCAACCTAAGGTAATGAAGATAAATAATAATCTGATGATATTAATCATGAAAAAGTATTTTATACTTTATTTACTTATAGGGATTATAAATTATTAATTAATATGATACTGAATAAAAAAGAAGAAAAGCTATGTTAAAATATAACACTTATTTTTTATTTGAAAGAAATATTGCTTTCTTCTTTAATTATGTCATATAAAAAATTATCAAGATGTCTCATTAAGGAATTCTCAAATTAAATTAAGAATTATATTATTCTACAATTTTTTGTATCTCCAAAAATCAAAATGTACATCTCAAAAGAATGCATGATTAATTAATGTCTACTAATCCTGATAAATTTGACAGAGAAACTTGGGGAAGATATTTAATTAGTTAAGAATATAAAAAAATATTAACTGTTACTAAAAATGATATTAAACATACTGAAGATTTCTATTTGGATATCTATAAAAAAGAAAAACAAATCATAGAAAAAGAACTCTCAACAACTTAGACTGATAATAAAAGGGCATCTAAAATTAAATAAGTTTTAGATGTTAATTTTGATTAAAATAATTTCTTTCAAACACTCTATCAATAAGTTGTACAAGAAAGCTTAGATATTATTAAAATTTTAATTAAATAAACCAAGGATTCTGACCATTTTTATAAAGAATTACTCTAATTAGGATGGTTTTTTGTTATCTGTTTGAATCCATATTTAGAATTTAAAGATATTAATATGGATTTCAATCAGTTTTATGAAGAAATGCAAACACTTACCGAAGTTTAATTATTAGAAAAAATTGGAAAACGCTTAGATTTATGAATTTATTTTATTTAAATTAATTCTATGACAATCTATTTTATATGTTATCATTCATTTCTTATACTAATTTTATTGTATATCTGTTGATTGTAGCTATTGTCCTTGATTAAATTGTGGATTAGTTTTGCTAGGATTGAATTAACCAAATTGTGTATTAAGTTTGCTCGGAATGAATTAACCATATTACATAGGTGGTTTAATTTCTTTTTGATTTTGATCTGTTTTAAATTCTTGACTTTACAATCCTATTTATGGCTAATTCTTCTCAGGTTAAGGAGTTTAAAAAGATTTAAAATTATTATTTGTAAAATTAAACTTTTCAAATGAATATTTTTTTTAGAATATCTAATTTTGGTTTAGTTAGCTCTGTTAATTATTCAGATTATTTTGAATACTCATATTCGTATTTGTATTATTATTCATATTCAAATTTATATTATTCATATTCCTATAGCAATTATTCATATTCGCATTTGTATTATTCGCATTTGTATTATTCAAATTTGTATTATTCAAATTTGTATTATTCGCATTTGTATTATTCAAATTTGTATTATTCGCATTTGTATTATTCAAATTTGTATTATTCGCATTTGTATTATTCAAATTTGTATTATTCGCATTTGTATTATTCAAATTTGTATTATTCGCATTTGTATTATTCAAATTTGTATTATTCGCATTTGTATTATTCAAAAATGTATTATTCAAATTTGTATTATTCGCATTTGTATTATTCATATTCCTATAGTTAATATTCATATTCATATTATTTGTATTATTCATATTCATATTTGTATTTGTATTACGTACAATATTATTTTGATAATTTTAGGATATATTATTCTGATCTTAAAATTAAGTTTTCCGTATATCTTTTTAGAATTATTAGATTTGACTTAAAGGTTATTCATTTAAAGGTTTATTTTGATATTAAGAGAAAAATTAAATTGAAGTTTATTAAATTTATTCTTATTCTTAAGTTTGTTATTTGAATTGTGGATTAAAGTGTTGAAACTAGTTTTATTAAAAAGTATTTTAATTTTACTTATTTGTAATTTTTGGTATCATTTTTCCCTCTTCAAAAGAAGTGAAGTCTTATTTTCCATCTTTCATAATTACTCCCACTCCATTTTATAAATCATTAATCCACTCTCCATCATATAAAATTTCGTTTTTTTAATTCTTATTCCATATGAATTTTCCTTTTCCATTTCTCAAACCATCTTTATACTAACCTTCATACTCCTAAAACATTATTTAATCTTAAATTTTATATGCAATCATTTTTCCATTATTTTCGATAACATCTTAGTTAAATTACCCAAAAAAGAATTCACCTTCTTCTTTTGAAATAAATTCAAATTTAACTCCATATTTAAAAATATCATTTTCAAAAATTCCAAAATAAATTATCTCTTTTTATAAGTAAACCCCTTTACCATTTTTTTGGTCTATAATATTTGAATAACCAAAATATTTACTGCCTTCCTCTTACTTGATATCTTCTTCTGAAAAATATTAATCGTAAATTTAAAAATTTTCAGGAATTTAAGAAAATATTTTCATAATAGATGGTTCAATATAATCCATTACTATTTTAAATTATTTATTTATGAATCCTTACAAATAAGTAGAGAATTTTTCTTTCAATTGTGAATTTTATCCTTGTTATTTTTGATCCACTGAGTTTAATATATTGAATTGATTTGCATAAAGAAAAAATATTATTTGGTTTGCAAGCTTTTCAAATTTTTTGCCATCTTCACAGAAAAATTTAATCAATATTTAGAAATTCTAAATACTATAATTTTTATTTTCTAAAAAGGATAATACATCTCCTAATTAAGGTAACATTTTAGTTTTCCAAGATTTAATTTAATCGATATTTTTCTTTAATAAATAGATTTTATAAAAGTTTGGAAAATCATCTTTTATCTTTCTCTTACACTTATCTTAAAATTCTTTTATTTTTAAGTATTTTTATTTATTATCTTTCTTTTATAAGCATTGCTCACATAAAGCAAATGATGATTTGACATCTTCTATTTAAATATAATCAACTTTTGATTTATCACATGATTGACAAAGGGAATTATGATTTTGCATTATTATTTATTTCTATTACTAATCTCAATAAAATATCTAACTACGTATATAAAATCTATATAATATTTTTGATATAAATATGCATATATAATATTAATCATCATTTATTTTCTTATATAAAATTTGAGTCCTTTTAAATAATACCTGAAATTTAATCAACCATTAATTTTAAAGTTTCTTGATTAGAATAATATGAATTGGTTGAAAGATTCTTAAATTCTTTAACAAGTTAATATTGGTTTTATTAATTTATTTAATTAGTTGATTTTTGTATATTGATTGAATCATTTTTTACATCTGGTTATTGAGTTTATGTATTTTATAAAGAACTTTTGAACTGCGACCTAAATAAAACAATAAATATTATATATAAACTACGGTTTCTTTTAATTTATAATCTGAATTAATCACTTAAAAAGGTCTAAAAGGTTGAAGTAAGTCATGACTATTTGATAAAAATATTTTATAATATTTTTCGTATTAACATAATAACTTTGTACTCTAATAATCTATTTCAATTGATAGTTACAGAGATATGATAGAAAAAATCAAAAATAAAAATAAACTATTTAATTATTTATCTATAGAGAAGAAAGCAATAAAAATAGTTTTCGATAGAAATGCTTCTTTCCTTAAAACCTTTTAGATAATATAAACTTGATATCAGCAAAATTATTAACAATTTTTTCATTTACTACCAATCTATTATATTTATCTCTTAATTGTATCAAAAACACTTCTTTTATTCAGATTTAATATCTCCTTGTTTTTTATTCATTTTATTTATTTCAATTCTAACCTTCTTTTAATTCATATATATTTCTGGATATCTATATTTTTAACAAATATAAAACTAGTCATATCCTTATCAATATTATATTTTAAGAATATTAAGGATCAAACTCAAACTCAAATATTCTAAAAGCTCTAAGTTAATTAAGAGTCAAAACTTTTATCATAATTTTCTATAGCCTTAGAAATCCATCTAATTCATGTGATTTATTATTCTATCTTCCTTCTATCTTAAATTAAGATCATGGCATTTACTAACTATATTAAATATAAGAAGGCATATTAATAAGAACTATCTTAATCATAAATTATATCTAATTTTAATTATTTCAATATTCATAAGAAATCTTCATAAGCCTATTCTTAACCTCCAAGCTTTCTAACTTTCTTTATCCACTTCACTATCGATATTCATTATTTATTATACTTTCATTTTTTTTTATATAAGGATCAGATAATAAATCTTCAACACTAAAATTAATTTGTCCATTCATTTCTTATATTTCACAAATAGCCACTTAATATATCTTATTTTATTCTAATATAGATTAATTATGCAACAAAATATCTTTTGAACCCTTAAAAAATTCTATGAAATCTTCATGCAATTATAAATTAACCTTTTTTATTGTGATTTACACAGACTTTAAATATTTTGCCATTATAATAAATGCTTTCTCTATATGTTCTTCTTTATCTATCGTAATTTTATAATCATTTACTTTATGTTTTAAATTTTTTTTATTTATTCTTCTTTTTTTATTTAGCAATTTGTTTCAGATATTGTAAACTTTTTTTTTTATTTCTTTTTGAATATATAGCTAATTCAAAGCTTTCCTTTTCCTTACCACTTTATAAAAGACAGCAATCATTTAATTATTACTTCAACTTACTTGAAGAAACATTGCTAATTAAGGAAAAAAAAGTAGCTTCTTCTAATTTAACGTTTGAATTTAGTTCAAGAATATCTCTTGTTAATTAATCAGTCAAAACTAAAAATAGAGAAGAATTGTCTTACTGAATTATCCTTAATTGTTTAGTATTGCTATTCCAATATTATTTTAATTGCATTATAATTAATAGTTTAAAAAGTTATCAGTATTAGAATTGCTCTCTCTTACTTATTATAATTTATTCTATAAAGAAGCATTCACTATATTTATTATCTATACTCTCTATTGATCATTTGTAAGTGATTCTTTTATTTAATTTATTAATTCAATCAATGCATTAATCTCTGTTTCATTCATTTAATTATGTTATGATAATTCTTATTATATGATTTCTAATTCTATAGTTTTTTATCTTAATTCTAATAGTATGTTTAGTATTCTTACAAACATTTTATACTTTTTTAATAAAATGAAATTTCAAAAAAGCAATTTATTTGCTGTCACTCAAAATTGATGAAAAAAATATATAAACTAACTGTTACTATTAATTATTTTTGTTATAAATTTATTTGAATTAAATAAAATTATAATCTAAACAAAGTATATTAAAATATCTCTTAATTCCACAGTTTTTTACTCTAGTCAAAATAATAATTATAGATCCTATTTATGAATATCAAACATTAAAAATTATTTATCTAAATTAAAAATATCTTTTAATTTTACACCATCACAAATTTATTGATACAAATATTAAATAATGGTTAAACTGGTTTTAAAAAAATTATAATTTTTTTTTAATGTTACTTTATAATTAGATTATCTTAAAGTTATATGTACTTATATATTTAACTAAAAATCAATAAAAGGAATGAAAATTTTTGTGATCAAGAGCTATTCTAAAAGAATGAAGGATCAAAATTATGACAATTAAGCTCAATTCTACTGTTATCAACTTAGTAAATAAATCCAAATTGAAAAACAATAAGTAAATCTCCTCTTGTCCAACTTTAATTGTTAATTTGAAGTAATAAGTATCAATTTTTGGTGAATTTTTTTAAAGCTTTGGGAGATTTTTGAAAAATTAATATTAATAAATTTTCTTGTTGAATTAAGCTACTCTTATTAATCCAAATGTTAACTGGCTATTAAAAGACTTAGTTCATAAATATTTCATTTAATTCAGATTATCTTATATATATATTTTTAATTTGATATTTTTATTATGATCAAAATTATCAATAATTTTTTGATAAGAGAAGAAATTAAATTTGATTTTTCATTATCCAATTTTTATTTATGTAAAGAAATTTTTAGGTTTTTCAATTTAGTTTAGAAAACAATATTATATTAAAATTTTTTTTTTACGATTCCTACCGTTTATATTTATTGCTCATTATTAAGAGATTGATCTTAAAGTTTTAAATGATTAAAAACAAAAACCTGTTTATTCTTAAAGTAATTGAAAACTAAAAAAATATTTATCACATGATATAGATAAAGATACATATTTATTATTAAGAATTCAGAATAGTTTTTAAAATTAAATATTTTAAATTATTAAATAATTTATGTTTAAAGTAAGAATTTCTATGTAATATGCTTAAAAGAAAATGTTTCAATATAAATTAAATTTATCAATACTGTAAATTGAAAGCGTTTTATTTAATTAAAAAGTTTATCTAGAAAACAAAATGAAAAAGAAAATTCAATAGGTTTTACTAATTTTTAACTTGAAATAATTAAATAATAAGTTATATAATATATACTTAATAATAAAAAATACATATTTAAATTCATTTTTTCTAAGTAGTTTGATGAATTTGTTGATCTTTGTATGCTTAGAAATAAAATTAAAAATTTACATTTTAGATGGTATGAAATGTCTGGTCCATAATGTTGTATAAATGATTCAGCTTTAGAATAATTTTTATCAGAAATATTAAGTATGACAGCAACATCTTCATTAGCAAAGGAAAATGAAGTTTTCAGTTTTGATAGAGTTTCATAACTATATAAAATAATAAATGTTACTTACATTAATCTTGATTTTTTTCATAGACTTTAATTAATCTAACTTTGACATTAGATTGTGATAATTAGAGTAATTATTTCTCTTTACTTATTTAGATTTATTAGATGCATCTAAATGGTTTATTTGAAGATTATCGTTTAATTTTATTTTTTTTTTTTCTATTGCTTAAATAAAAGTTTTTAAGGTTTTTAAATAATCCTTTTTAGTAATTAGAGAGAAGGAGAGCTTTCAGCTTCATATAATTTACCCTAAACTTCAAGTTAATCTAGGTCCAGCATTTGAGTTATTTATTTTTAAGTTTAAATAGTTTGAATTGGTTAAGACGGAGTAGGTTTGATTTCTTTTTAAGGTATACTTTCTTCATTATCAGAAATAGTAATATAATTTGATTATTGAATAGGTAATTATGTTTTGTTACGCATAGCTAATAAAAATAGTTAATTATGTATAGAATAGTATAGTTAATTGTACATTTCTACTATTTGCTAATATGTATATGAATTAGGTTATTATGGAGGCTTACAGAAATCAGGATTTGTATACATCAGAAAATGGTAATGTGATTTTAGTTTATTAATTTATTTTAATCTAAAAAAAATGCAGAATATTTATTTATAAATCTTATTTTAAAAATAAAATGAAATTGATTAAATTATTATCAATCACTAATAAGTTTCATTGTTTCTACAAACTCTGAATCATTCAAGATCTCAGAACTAATGTCTAAGATACTAAGATCTTAATTTCTAGATTTTTTGAAAAGTAAGATATCTCTTTGTTGTTGCATCATTTAAACAAAATAAGATCTAATATATATTTATTATAGGTAATACTATTTTAACAAAACAAGTAAACGAACAGTAAGTGATAAATAACGCATAGATATTAATGATATTCCATATATCTCATCATAATACACATCTTATTGCATTGTTATACAGCCAATTATTGATAAAAAAGCACACAAATCAAAAATATTCCAAGGAGCTGTGAAGAATGCCTTTAATTATTGTTAAAATATAAAATAATTAAATTAATACTAGTCCTTCTGTTAAAACTTTAAGTGCAATATCAGTACAAACAGTAAAGGTCAATAAAGCCTCTAAAAAGAGAACAATTGGTTTCTATAGACTCTTGATATATCAAATATGTATTACTTTTTATCATCAAGGAGGACCTAATATGAAATAAATTGATTTCTCTTCTTACATACATCAAGAGCATTGTTGATAGAATCAATTATAAAAGACAATAGAATAAATAACCAATGCTTCTTTATAGACTTGTAATTAAGTATTTTGAATTCATCTTAATTCTTATTATTGAATAAATTTTAATTAAATATATTACAATCAAACCTAAGGCAATTCAGATTAACTTTTCTTCTTTAATTCTTGAGAATTACACATTTTAATATCAAGAGCACTCATTTATTCTTAATCTTCCACTATTGACATCGACATTTGATTTTCAGAATATAATGGATTTTCAGAAAGCATTGGATTTTCACCAATTAAAGGATTTGCCAATTCATCATCATCATCATTATCAATATTTGAATTACTATTTAATTATATTTCTGGAATATAGAAAGGAGCATATATTTATTGTAGAAGAATACAAGGAGAACGATTTTATTTACTTATCAAAGCTTATAAATGATCTATCTCAATTTTACTAAAATGTATATCTAATTAATTCAGTATATCTAGGTACACCTATTGATTAAATTGTTTTTACTTCAATTTTCATAAATCCATTTGTAAATGTTTCAGGATACTTTTTCATTAATATCTCTTAAAGTTCTTATTTCTTATTCATTATTGTTAAATTTATTGAGTCTAATTATTAAGGATCTAAAATTATATAATTCTCCATTAATGTTTTGAATATACTTCTAACTCTACTACTTGTAGTACTTTCACTTTCATCTTCTATATCAGCAAGATAAGCAGCTAACATATGAATTTCATTCGAATCTTCCAATCCAAATATACTTTAATGTAAGTTTTCCTCCAGTTAATTGAAAGTCAAGTTTTCACTTGTCAAAAGATACTTTTCTACATCATTTAAAGGTAATTTAAGACCAATCAATCTTAAACGGATTTTCTTTGCAATAGGCTAAACATCATTTTTATTTACTGTTATATTCTTTTTGATCTAAATTTCGTTTTCGTTATTCTTTTATTCTTATTAATCTTCAAAAATTTAAGGATTTTTCAATACAACTGTTCTTCTTAAATATCTTTATTATTGAAATTATTATTGCATTTATTAGTACTATTACTTTTCTTATTCAAATTACAATTCTAAAGTTGAAAGTTACTTTTAAAATTCTTTATTTTTTTTTTCTAAATAAGCAATCTTATCTTAGTGTTCTAATTATAAACAATTATATTTATTTTCCCAAAGCTTCACTTTTTATTAATAATTTCTAATATCAATTTTAGCTTGTTCTAATTCAATTATTATTTTTTCATCCCCCTTTTAAATATCACGTTGTGAAGGTTTATTATCATATTAAATATTTTTTCTTCTCAAAATATCAATTTCAAGAAGCAATTATTTATTTAAACCTCTCAATTTTTGGCATTTTACTGTTTGGGCATTCAATTTGATTGTCAATTTATGATTTATTTTCTATATTTGCTAGAATAATTCATACTTAAAGTTCATTGTTTTATTTTTCAATTTATTCCAATATTTTAGTTAAATGTACATTGTCATCAGACAACTACATACAATATATGTCTATATTTTATTATTCAATAGGATTCTTAAGTTATTTCAAATAATTTTAAGTTTACCCCAACTCTTCTTTCAATTTTTAGTTCTCTTCCTAAATAGCTTCTCTAATAAATACCTAAATTGAAGCTAATCTCTCTATATAACTTTACTTTAATCTTGTATAATTGTAATTCGGACTAGCTTCATCTCTTTAAAATTATGTTACTTCTTTCTTAAAATATTATAACTATGATTATTATTTGCGTATTGTTTGAATCAGGTTGTTCTTTTCTTACTTAAGTTATTAAATTTCTTCAAACATAGTTTCTTTATCTTTGAGATAGATGGATTTTAATCTCTAATCTTCTAAAGTCAAATTGCGTTTGAAAATTGTTCCACAATGCTTTGGACTATTGATAGATAATGTCTTTTAAGTAGCTGAGTTTTAAATCATTTAATATTAAAATTGAATAAATAATACAATTTTAAAACAGTATTTCTATATGTCTGATCACCACTTGTAATTTATATGTAAAAATTCTTGATTAAATTGATATCTAATATGAATCCAGAATTAAAAGATAATTTTATAATTTATAGAATTAATGAGTTCAGAATATCCCTAAATTTCATGGAAAGAATTGATAAAGCATTTTAAATGATCATCATTATGGGTTGTAATTGTAGGTATGGTATATGATGTAACTACATATTTGGATAAGCATCCTCGAGGTGAGGAAATTTAAAAAAATGTGTAACCAAAGATGTTACAGAATAATTCTTAGAATATAATCATTCAAACTATTCACAATCTATACTTGAATATAGATTGGTAGGAAAATTAACAAATGAACCACCACCTGATAATTATGCTTAATTACTTAAACAAAGAAAATTAAGAATAAGAGTAAATTCAAATACAGATTAAAAATCCATACAAAAAAGTTACTTGGGAAGAATTAGAATGTCATAGACAGACGACGCTAGGATTGTTATAGATAATGATGTATATGATATAACCAATTTTTAGGTTTAACATCATGGAAGAATGAAGTTATTAATAGATAAAGCAGATGATTATGCATTTACATTCTATATAAATAATTAACAGGAATAAAACCGAAAAAATGGAAAAACAATAATCAATTAATTATGTATTAATATTGTTTATAATAATAGTATTTTTTGTATTAATTTATTTATTGTTATTCTGAACAATATTATATTATAACAATTTTAATTGTTTAATCTTAAATTCATTTATAAACTACAATTCTCTCTTTTGAGAATATTAATCTTTTTTTTATGAAAATCCAAAAATTACGATAAAATTCAAAAAAGTATAAAATATTCGATTTGAATTAGAATAATAAAAATAGTTAAGTAATTTAATATGTATTAAAGTGTTTAGTAGTTTAAATATTAGAGTTTTGATTAATTTGGAGTATATAGAATATATGAATTGTATTTATAAATTTTGTGTAATTATATGGTATTGATGTATCATAGATTAAAAATAATAAAAATATATAGATAAATGATTGGTTATTTATATTGAGTAGAATAAAAAATAAGTTGAAAAGGAATGATTAGAATATGAATGTGAAATAAATAGAGATGTGTGAGTGTATGAAATTTGATTGATAATAATTAAAATTTAAAATATTGAATTCTGATGAGTAGATAAGCAAATTCATAAGATTATGATTGGTTGGTTAAGGTTATTGTAATTGGTGATTCAGGAGTAGGTAAGACAAATATATTGTCTTAATTTTGTGATGCAAAGTTTTCAATAACTCATATGGCTACTTTGGGAGTTGATTTTAAGATAAAGACAATAGATGTAGATGGAAAGAAACTTAAATTGTAAATTTGGGACACAGCAGGATAGGAGAGATTTAGAAATATAACAAAAACATATTACAAGGGTGCATAAGGAGTAGATATAAATATATATTAATTAGGTGATTTTAACATATAGCGTAATAGATAGATAATCGTTTTAGAATGTCGATGGATGGTTGAGGGTATGAATAGTTTAGATATAAAAAGTCAATATAAGAGAATACTAATTCAAATGATGTTCAATTAGTGTTAGTAGGTAATAAAGCGGACATGTCTGCAGAGAGATAAGTCACAATGGAAGAAGGATAAAAGTTATCATAACAATATAACATTCCATTCTTTGAGACTTCTGCTAAAAGCAATATGAATATTAATGAATCATTCCATAATTTAGCTTAGAGAATCATATCCACTTTATGTAAAATGTAAGCTAATGATGATGCTCCAAAACTTAATTTAAAGTAAACCGAAGGAAAAGAAAAAACTAAAGCTGATGTATTATATAAACAATTCATTAATAGGGCTGTTGCTGATATTATAAATTTATTACACAAGATTTACATTTATTATTTTCTTGAATTTCACTTCTTTTTCTTTCTTAATTTCAAGTTCTAGTATAAAAATTCTTCATTAATTAATATGCAAGATAAATCGAATACAAATTCAAGTGTCAATGAATCATAATCTCCAAAGAAGTTACCAGATGGTGTAGAGAAAAAGAAGAGATCTAGAACTCGTAAGTATAGCGATGCTCAACGTGAACACAAGTGTGAATGCGGGAAGTCATACTTAAGTTATCCTGCACTCTATACACACATGAAATAGAAACATAATGGGGTTTACTAATTACTTAATATTCTAGTAATCTTAGAAGAACCTAGATGAACAAAGGTTGGAATCAACATATTCAGAGTCACAAACATAAGACATCTTTGCCACTCTTGCCAACGCCTTAGGTAAGGAGGAAGATAAACCACAAACTTCTTTGAGTATTCAAGATATGTACGATCTAATTATGTGGGAAGTGTAGTTATTAATTATGGAGACTGACAACAAAGACATCAAATTAGATTACTATCATGAACTATTGAAATAAACTTAACCTACTACTACTAATGTAACTACTCCCCAAGATGCATTTATAAGGTTTATTCATGAAGTTAAAGGAGTCCTTAGTTATGAATAGATGAAACTTATATTTTTCTTTGTGTACTCCTTTCGTAAACTTCTACTTGATTGTCCAGATTGTCCTACTAGTGGATTAGTTGAAAAAGCTAACTAATTAGTTTGTTCTCAATTAGATAAGGTGCTTTAAAGTATCCAATTACTTTCAAATCGAAATTACATTGTACATTTGTCTAGAGTACCTAACTTAAGAGAAGCAATGATCCAAATAGTACTAGGATTTTGTAATTGGTTATATGCTCGTCATTTGACTGATGACAAATTACTTCTGAAGAGCGATTCTGATTGATTTTTTTATATCAAAAATAGAAATCATTCTTGAGAAGCAATTTCTTTCTTCTCGTATGATATTTTTTTAAATCTATTAGTAATCTGTTTAATGTTTTAAATGAATTGAGTAACCTAATCTTAATATATATAGAGATAGAATATTAATGTGACAACACTAGAACTTTAGATTCTTTAGGTTTATCTAATTGCTAACTTATCTAAACTCTTCTTTACTTATCCTAAAATCACTACAAATACTAATAATTTTAAATGAGTCAAATTTTATTAAAACCTAATTTGAAATCCTTTGATACTCAAATAAATACTAGTAATATTATAGATTAACCTTCTATAAATAAAATTCACATAATTCTTAGGTATATATGGCAGTTATCTATTATTTTTTATCGTTAGTACTAAATTCTTAATTTTATAAGAAAGACAAGAAATTAAAATCCTATTTCTTAAATAAGATTTATCTTCATAGTTTTTTTTACTCATTCATCTCTATTAATTATGAAATTAGATTTTTTTCGATTCAAAGAATTTTCATTCTCATCTCATCTATATTCAATAACATACTGATTGATAGTAAATAAACCTCAACAGTAATTATGTCATAATTCTAAATTTACAAATAATCAGGTAAACTTGGTTTGTTTAAGTCAATTATTTAATGGTAGCTATATAAAAATGTCATTATTATCAAACTCCATCAAAAATTAATATTGTCATAATCCCTAAACAACAGAAAACCTAAATAGTAAATTACAAAATGCCAAATATTATTGAATAAATTAACTTTATCAGAAAGGAATAATTTCAAAAGAATTTAAACTTACTGTTTTAGATCATCATTACTAATTTAAAAATAGTGCTAATTTAAAAGAGATAAGAGTCATCAATTAGTTTATATTCATTGATACTTTAAATTTATGATAATGTATTGAAAATAAAATTATTTTTACTTCTTAAATTAAATATTTAAAACTTTTTCTTCTACTTTTAGTTCAGAATTCGTTTATCTCCTCAACTAACTTGATCATTGATAAATTTTGTTACATCTTTATTTGTATTTATATATTTAGACTATTCGAAATCAAAATAAATATTTCCTAATTGGTCTTGACAAATTCAAACAATTAAACCCAAATAATATCTACTTGGCTTATATTTATCATATTTTTCTAATCACATCCCTCACATTTCCTTTACAATCTACAATTTTTGATTTTTATTTCAATAAAAATTAAGTACCAATCACCATTTACATATAGTTATAATATAACTAACCTTTCCTTTTATTTAAATATTCGCATAAAAATAAATTGTTTCAAAAACAAATGCATTCTTATACATAAAAATATATAAAACTCTATATCCATAATATGTTAATCTCCTTATTTGCAGTTAATTTGCTGGAAATAGTTATATTTTTTTTCATTCTATATTAGATCCTCAATTATAATACTTTAAAGTCTACAGGTCAATTCCTATTTAACTTCAGAGATTTCTAATATGCAGGTTCTTAATATAACTACTATTAATCAATGATTCTGATTAAATAGTGCCAATCATTTACTAAGACTTATGTGGATAAATCCGATCATTAATACTGTTTAAATTCTGTATTTTATTTTTATCTTAATTAATAATTTATAAATAATTTAATAAAATATATTTATATTGAATTATTTATTTTTAATGTTAATTAATAATTTATAAATAAAGTATTAAAATATAATACAATATATCAATTTCATTCTGTTTTAAAAAAATAAATATATTTATATAAATTATTTCATACTTTGCAATGTAGAAATTATTAGTATCTTTAAAATCTCTCTCTCGAATCTATATTATACGGATTAGTGGCAAGAACCTAAAATATAACTAAATTATTACCCTATACTTATAATTTTAAAACCAATCTTTTTGTTGTATTAATTACATTCTATACTTTGTTAATTTTTCTGGTTATTCAAAATTCAATACTTTTGGTCCTTCAAATGGTATAACTGTTTCATAATGCTATTATTATGTTTCTTATAGTTATGATGGCTCTTCTGATATGATTTTGATTTAATTAAAATAGCTTTCATTATCTTTCGAGACTTATTATTATTCAGTATCTTCACCAATTTCCATTTCACCTATCTTACTATATAGTAGATATAATTGTTCTAGAGAATGTAATAATTCAGGTTAAGGATTTATATCATTTAAATTTAATTCCATTTAATCTAAAATTTTAGATTTCTATTTTAAAATCTATCTCCAATTATTTGATTTTTCAGTATCATCTGAAATCTTTAACTATTATTCTTTGATTTCTAATTTAAGTTTTTTTATTAAATCTTTTTTCATATTATTCTAATCAAATTATTAAGCCATTTCTATTTATAATTTTAATTGTTCAGTATCTACTTATAATTTTCTTCTCATTTACTTAATTTTCTCTTTATCATTTTTATATTATTCTTATTCTCTATTAAAAGCAACTCTCTCGTCCAAAAGAATTAATTTCCATTTACGCCTAAATCTAAGCAAATATTATACATTTATACTGCATTCTCTTCAATTACAACACTTTAATTCATGGATAGATTATTTTATATATTTATTTCAGTTCCAAAATTCTTTGGCCCTACTTATTTAAATAAATTGCTTTAAAACTTTGAATTATCATTACTTTAATTTACTGCCAATTATTCCCTTAATTCATTAACACTTTAAATCATATTTTACATTGTTTATTATCTCTATTGAAATTCTTAATGTTTTCTTATCATCTATTAATAATTCTATTCTAATAATTCTAATTCCTTATCTGCTATTTTATCATCCTATTTGTATTATTCAACTAAATATTGTAAACGATCTAAATCATATTTTATTACATCTTTTTATTTCAATTCATTTTATAAATCATATTTTAAAACTACTATATTCATACTTGTCAATTTCTCTTATATTTCCATCTTTTTTCTCTTAAATTATTTTATTTCTTCTTTCAATTCATGAATTAAACTTTTTGTTTGATTAATCTCCATACATAAATCTATCTCTTTTCCATTTCCTAAAATTTTACCTGTCTTCTTTTCATAATCTTTTTATATCTTCTCTAATTTTAATCTTTATGTTTCCTCCAATTTTCTTTTCATTTCTTAATATTTCTCACTTGTTTATCTATCAAAATTTATAATTTAATTTTATATTTGTTATATTAATTTCTCCTTCTATTAAGTAATTTTCTTTATATTTTCTTACTTTCTTTATTCAATATCTAAATTTCTATAATCATAAATTTATGATTATAACACTTTGGATTCACTTAATTCAATATTTTACAATTAATCAGTAAATTCTTATTAGATTTAATTAAATTTAGGATCATATTGACTTTTTATCTCCTCCTTTATTGATCTAACCATTCTCTAGTTTTCTTCTTATAAATCTATTAATTCGAATTTATATTCTCTTTTAGTTTAATCAAATTAAGTAATCAATTTTCTCTTTATTCCCTCTTATTCTTATCTTAATCTTTTCATATTTTCTTATTCTATTTATTACATCTTTACATAAATTTCTTAAGTCAATTCTTTTTTGTATTTATTAAACTAATTTTCTACATTTTTTTTCTTATCTTAAATTTATTTCATCCATTTAGAATCAGAATCAGAAAGTTCTTTCTATCTTTAATTAATTCTTCTAACAATATCTTTTTATTATCCTTAAAGTTCTTACTCAAGAATTCTTAATTTATTTTTTATAGTTTTCTCTTATTCATATTAATAATTCTCTAAATTACGTTCTAATTATTTTTTCATTTAATTCTTTTAATTTTATATATTCTATTCAATATCCTGTTCGACCTTTCTTTTAATTTTCTTCTTTTTATCTTCTTCACTCTTAGTTAAATTATCTTTTTATTTTTCATATTCTTCCTTTAATTCAAATAACTCTGGATCTGCTTCATTCATTAAAATCAATTCCATTTTATTTAACTTTTATTTGTTATCCTCCTTTAACTTTATAACAGCTTTCTTCTTTTCATCCTCATAATCTTATACTTATTTTGCATATTCCTAATCAACTTAAACTAATAAACTTTATGTGGCTGTATTTTAAATTGGATTTTACAACACATAACCTTAATTCTACCTATTCTCGTAATAAACATTAGAATCCATCATAAATGATTCAGCTTCCTCATTTGCATCCAAAGAATTTGGTTCTCTATACTTTTCTATATCCTTTTTGAACTTATTAATTCCTGTTGATTTCTCTACTGTATATTATAAAATACTTTTTTTTTCTAATTTTAAGTATCAATTTATTTTGCTTCCTCATACTTTCTTGCATATATTTAATCACAAGGATGATCATAAAGGATTTCTTAAGTTTCCCTGTTTTTATAGAAAACCAACTCTTCCCCATTTACCTTCTTAGAACAAATCTTCCATTCCTCTGGTAATTTAGCTTTTAAACCAGCTTTCGCAATATCTAAATATTAATTATCTTCTGGTAATTTCATTCCCAAATGAAGTGCATATTCCCGAATTTCTAAATATTACTATAATTAAACCTTATTTTGTAGGAGAATAATCATCCATTATTTCTTCCTACAATGTTTAGGTTTCATCATTTTCATCATTAAAACTCCTATTCATTAAAGGATTCTTACCGAACATTTAACTTAATTTATATAATTTAATATATTCAAACTAAATTCTCCTCTTGAATTAATAAATCTTATTTTAACGCCTTTTCTAAACTGCCTAACTATTTTCCTTATTGCAAGAAATATGAATTTTAAATTTTTTATGTTCAATAAATCTACAGAGCCTATAAAATAAATTTCTATTGATCATTTTAACAAAAATTAAGGTCTAAATATTGAATAAATTTATCAAATCATAAAAAACTATAAGAACAACTTAAGTCTTTCTTAAAACCACTAATTTCTAATTAAGATATTTTTATACATGTAATACATTTTTATGATAAGCTAAATTAATATAAATTCAGATCTTAGTTTTTTCAATCTTAAAATTGAAATAGAAATAGATTACTTTCCATATATATATATATTATAAAAAAAGAAAGAATATAGATATCTATTAATAGTAAAATTTATTAAATATAAAATTAATTCTGGTATGTTACCCTTCATATCAAGCTTAATTAGGAAAAAGGAATTTTAAGATTTTGCTGGTGTATGTAGAGGTATTTACAGAGTAATGGATGGAGTGAATTAACCTTAATTGTTAAAAGAGAATTTAATAGATGAATCTAAAAAATAGTAATAAATGAATGGAATAGATGGATAGTAAGAAAAAGTGGTATAATAAATATAAGAATAAAACTAATCAATAAAATAAGGAGCAACAAAATTAGATGATAATAATAAAGATCAAAATGAATACAAAAGGTAAGATATAATAGAATAAGACAAATAAAGAAATGTTTAGTAATCTTAAATTCCTTCTGCACCATCCATAAATAAATAATTTACTGAAAATAAAGTACCATAAACAGCAATTGGAAGAGTATATGAATTTGGTGCATTAGGAGTTAATTTGGCAACAAATGCAATGAAGACTATGGTGACTTAAGGGAATGTATAAAAACGATTGAGAATAATTAGGTTTCTTTTAGACAAGCATTGGTAAGTGAGGAGAATGCTTCACTTCTTGCAAAAGGTCTATGTAAAATGAGAGGAGCTCCTTTGAAACTTGCATAAGCATTAAGTATTTAAGAAGATGAAGTAATACCAAAACATATTAGATAAGCATTTGAATAAGCAAGATAGAATGCAGATATAATGCCATAAAAGTAATTAGAAAAAGTATTATAAATATATTATATAAATAGATGTTAAAATAAGAATTTGGAAATTAATGGATGAATAAATTTAAAGAATTCGATATAAAACCATTTGCTGCTGCTTCAATTGGATAAGTTCATGAAGCAATCACATTAGAAGGAAAACGTGTTGCAGTTAAAATTCAATATCCAGGAGTAAAAGAAGCTATTGATAGTGATTTAAATAATCTTAAAATGCTTATGGAATATACTAAGTTATTTCCAAAGACTATGTTTTTAGATAAATTGATTGCAAATACAAGAAAAGAATTGCATGAAGAATGTGATTATACAATAGAAGCAGCTAAATAAATTAATTATAGAAATTTATTTGGGAATTAAATTGAATTTGCTATTCCTGAAGTGATTACAGAATTATCAACCTCAAGAATTTTGACAGCAGAATATTTGTATGGTGATACAATTGATTTTGCAGCAGAATTTTATCCTCAACATTTAAGAAATGAAATTGGAAGGAGAGTTATGAGTCTTACTCTATAAGAATTATTTAAATTTAGAACTATGTAAACCGATCCTAATCCTTCCAATTTTTATTTCGATAGAAATTCTAATAAATTAATACTTCTTGATTTTGGAGCAGGTATTTTTATATTACAATTTTTAGTTCATGAATATACTAAATAATTTATTGATAATTATATTGGAGTTATTTATGCTGCTACTATTTAAGATCGAAAAGAATGTTTATCAAAATCTGTTGACTTAGGATTTTTAACTGGTGAAGAAAGTATTCGAATGAAAGAAGCACATGTAGATTCTATCATATGTGTTGGAGAACCTTTCAGATATTAAGGAGAATTTGATTTTGGAGAATAATAAATGACCAAAAAGATTTATGAACTTATGCCTGTTATGCTTAAATACAGAATGAGACCTCCACCTCCTGAAATCTATTCATTACATAGAAAATTATCAGGAGCATATTTAATGAATATGAGATTAAAAACTAAAGTTAATTGTAGAGACATATTTATGAATCTTTATGAATAATATATTAAACTATAATGAATCAATATAATAAGTTTCTTATTTAATTTACTATCAAAATTAATGATTGATTACTTTCAATTCTATCTACTTTCTGTTGATAGCCTCTATAAATCTGTATTTTATTTATCCTATTAGATCAATAAATTCATTAGAAAAATATCATGTTCTTGTTGATCTATTTCATCAAACAGTATGAATTTATTGAAGTACTAATTGGATAAATGAAAAGGATAAACTTAAGACCTAAATTATAAAGCTTCATTAATTTCTAAGCCTAATTGGATAATCTTTTGGATCTAAATATTTAATAATTTAATAGCCTTTAAGATTTTCACAAAAGAGTATATGTCATTAGAAAATAGAAATTAAAAGATTTAAGGATAAGCAAATTTCATATATAAAAACCCAAAATGTTATTAAAATTAATAATCAATAAGTTTAAAAAGTTGAATAACTCATCAATAAATCAAATGTACAAAAAACTTTTAATTAAAATAATTAAATAACCTAGTAATTAGTAATTAGGATACAGTCCTTAAAGGATTATATTTGATATTTAGTAAAAAAGTACAATTCAACTATGTGATATTTATGTAAGCTAACTAAATTCTAAATATATATTAATAGAATTAATCGAAATTATAAAAAGAGCTATTTAACTTATTAAATTTCAAATATCTTCAATAGGACTCTTTCTTCTTTTCTTCTATTTCAAATAAATATTGTAATAATTATTAGTGATAAAAATTCTTCTACGGTAGTAATAGTTGTAAGAAATTAAACATATAATAATTAAATTTTAAGAAAAAAGAAACAAATCATGTCAAACTAGTAATACTTTAAATTATTTGAATTTTTTCTATATCTATGATAGCATCCATCAAATAATGTAGTAAAATGATATGATCAATAAAAAATTAATTAAGAAAATTGGGATAAGAAGTTAGCAGGGGTATTTTTATAGTTTTTCAGTTTATTTCATGGGAAAAAATTTTTTAAATATTAATAACTAACCCATTTAAGATATAAGGGAATAAATTATTGAAGATTCTACGATAGTTTCTTATTTAAGATATATTGAAATAATTCTCTTAGAAATACACAATTTGCTTTAGAAAATGATCAAGATAATTAGATTAAATTAAAACATTGTTTAGATTTGTCTTGAATAATTTATGATAACGATAATTATATTTTAATTATAACATTTTGCTTCATAATAGAATTTACAACCTTGTGTTTATTCTTAAAATGAAAAGTATTTTAAAATATTGTCAATAAATTTTTTTTGTTTAGTAATGAGTTACTTGTTTTCGTGTTTATTATTAAATTAGTGTGCATCTCTTGTTATCTATTATTAATACATAATTTTTCAAAGCCTTACAACAGATTTCAGAGTTTTAAGAATTCCAAGTAATTTATTCATTATAAGATAAATAATGCAAGTAATAAATAGTAATAATAAGAAGTTTATCACCCCTTAAGACGGTAAAATCATTAGGATTAATTAAATTTTGGTTGAATAAGTCTATATTCTCTAACAATAGAAATATTAATGATAATAGTTTAACTAGATTAATGATAATGTCCAAATAAATGATTATAGAAACCCAAACATCATTGAAATCTTGTTCTCATAATTAATCTTTAAATAGAAGTTTTGGAATAATTGCACACTTATATATAATTTGATTGATATCTAAATAAAGAGAATATGTTCATAAAGACATAAAGGATATCTTCTCATTAAGCATGAATAGAATTTTGAAACACATCAATTAATAAAAATATATATATATATTCTAAATGTTTAATTCATACTAGTATGAGAAATAACTTGCATTAACTAAAGATATCGATAAGATTAAGAAAGGATACTTAAGAGAACGAGATGTTCGTAAAGGTATAAATAATATTTAGAATTTAAGAATTCAACAATAGATTAGCATAGAATTATAAAAAAAGAGTTGAAAATTTTGTAATCAATATGCTTGAAAATCCTATTGTTTGTGTTGATTATTAATAACCTAATTAATCATCATTTAGAGATGAGGATCCATCTAAGAATTTAGGAGATCCTTAATTTTATGTTAAAGGTTTTAAACATGAGAAAGATCGTATATAAGAAGCCTTAGATAAAAATAAAGATCTTGATTTTCTACCAAATCGATAAGTTGCTCATTATTGTTTTAGAGAAAGGGATCCTTCTAAAGATATTAAACGTGATATCTTTAGATATAGAGATAAAACTAGTTTAGAAAGAATTGAACAATTTCTTAAAGATCATACTTAAACTTAAGTCGAAAATTAAAAATTCCCAAAAAAGAAATTAACTAATCTTGAAAATCTATCTGATAATATGACATCATTAGATAGAAAGGCTTACATCAGTAGATTAGTGGCTAAAAATCTTTTACCTTCTCTTCATTAAAAAACACATTTTTAAGCTGCTTCTACCATGTATAACAATTTACCTTGTATTTAATTATTGCTTTATTGTAGTATCACTTATGGATCATACTAAATCATTACCTTAATTAAAGCAGTTAGAAACTGAAGAAAAAAGTAATCATCTATATTTATATTTAGAATCATAACAGCAATAATAAAGAGATGTTCAAAAAACAGAAGAAAATGAAATCAAAGATAATAATAAAGCTAAAAAAAATAATGAAATGGAAACTTTTAATCCTATTGAAACCTCTAAAATTATCTTAGAAAGATGTTAAGTTATTAGGAATAAAAATCCTAAAACTCATGTTATTCATAAAGGCGAAGGACATCTTATTTCAACTCTTGATAAATCTATTTAAGAAGTTTACAAAGAAATTTATGGAATAGATTTCACTGAACCTTAGTTTTTTCAAAAGTGAATATAAAATTTAATATTCAACCACTCATCATCATTGATTATTTTAATAATATCTCTGTCTAATCAATCAAATCACTCAAACTATTCTCATATTCTTTAAAAAGACTTGCAGTATTTTAAACACTTATTTCTTCTAATTTTGAGTTCTCTATTTTTAATTAATTTATCTATTATTCCAATTATAAAAGTTCTTAAGTTAATTTTGATATCTCTAATTTTTAAGATTATAATAAAGTTGGAGATTAATGACTTAAATTTTCATTCTCATCTGCCTCAAATTCACTAATTTCCATTTTCCTTTGTACTGTACGACAGGATTATTGAGATTATAATTGAGCATCCTATTAACATTTATCAACTGATAAATATAAAGACGATCTTTTTTTAGACATCTAATTTTAATATTATTTTATGCTTTCAACTGTTGTTGTCCTAGCTATTACTAATTCTGAATTTTTTGTTTAAAGTTGATTTATGTTGATCTAAATAATCACACTAAAAAATTTATCAATTTCAGTTGAATCAGTACTTTAAATAATTTTATCTAAAATATAAAAAGCACATGAAAATGATAGATTGAGAAAAAATTAATTCTTATAATGCATCATAGCTGATTCAATGAATTACTTTGCTGCTATTATTTAATCTTATTCCAATTTAAATCGAAATTTAACATCCTAAATAGCATCATGTTACATATAGTCATGATCTTTAATAAATTCTTATGTTGTTTAGTATTCAGGATAATATTATTTAGGTATTTTATGATAAAGATCTTCTAGTATTTTTAAACAAACATAATCCTTACAAAAACACAATAAAAATATTGTCAATTTGATTAAATATTAATTGTATCCTACTTTAGGATTACGAGTAACAAAAGTATCAACTACATTTGTTATAGTGGATTCTACATCTCTATTATTGAATATTAACAAATTAAAGAATTCTTAGATTGAGTAATTCATTGGAGTTTACATAATAGTTTTAACATCTCTAGCAATTTTACTTGATTTAACATCTTTGTTTAATTTGTACACTTATTTGATAAATTCAACATCTTTGACCCAATACTTTTTGGCTATTTAACTATTATGATTCCATGCTAAAAGGGAATCTGAAATAATCTTTTTGATGGTTTCACAATCTGAACGTAGATAGTTGTTTTTATACCTTGCATACAAACTTTACAAATATTTCTGAATACATCTCTAACCTATTGTAATTTAGAGCAATCAGTGCAAATAATTCTATTGCAACGTTTACATTTGGTATCTCTTCTCCATAATATATTAAAAGCTTTCTTACAAATATCACAACTCATAATATAAATATATATATATATAATTTATATTAAGAAAATTTGTTAAGATGAGTGAAATTAAAATCATTTAATCATAGATTATTTTAAATCTCTTTAATCCATACTTAATAAACCAGGTAATTCTTCAACTTCATCTTCATTTAGATTTCCCTTCTTTTTTTTAAATTTATCCATAATCATTCTATTCTTATCTATTTAAATATAATTTGAAATATCAAACACTTCCTTCACTTCTTAACCTAATTTTTCAATAAGTATTTTATTAAATCTATTATTCTTTTCCTCTGATAAAATGACGCGCTCATAAGCTTAATATAATTTATAATAAATCTATAATCCTGGATTAACAAACTATCCCTTTTTAAATTTCTTATCAAACATCATTTTCGCTACATCACTAAATTATACTCCTAATCTTTTAGTAAAAGCACGTCTTAATTAATCATTTTATAATATATATACTTTGAATCTCTTCTTCCAGGTAGATGATGTTTATAACTTTAATCTTCAATTGTTATGACTTCCTTTGGAGCAAAATTAAATAGAATTTATTGATCTCTCTCTAATAAAAGTTCTTTTATTAAATTAATTTCGTTAACTTTATCTATCAATACACAAATATCCAAATCTTAATTTATTTTTTTACTTTAACTTAAAATCAATAATTTTACATTGCTTTATCTAATAGAATGCAATTCTTATCTTAAAATAATTTGCCACAAAATAATTAATGCAATACAAACTTAAAAGTAAAAACTATTGGTCGACTTCTATCTAGCATCATCTAGATTTGTTTGGTTAAATACTCTTTTCTATTATGGATTCCAATTTTATTAATTATTTATTTATGTATTTACTTTATAGATTGTTTCATATTCTTTTACTCTTATTATTCCACTTAAGTTTTTGTTTATCTATCCTAATTGAATTTTGCTGTACTACCAAACATAACTATATCTGTATGATTATTATTTTGAGTTAAATGACTTGATATAAAACTCTTATCAACACTCTCCCATTCTATTTCATTGTCTCCTACAGGTTATAAATGAATTCCAGAATTTTTCTTACATACATGGGTTTTATCATCTGATTCAACCTTATCATTATGTATTACTAAAGTACAATCCACTTTATTAGGTAAACTAGGTCTAATTGATTATAAAGCATTATTGCAATTGATAGACATATTATTAGGGTTTATTGAAGATACAGGACTACATCTTTAACTAATAATTTTTGATTAGGATTTAACATAAGTGATTTCTTTTACTAATTACTGTCTTTCAAATTTAGCTTTGTTTTGATTACCAAAATGAAAATCATACACTTCATTAGCCAATTCAATAAGATCTAGCTGATTTTACAAATATACATTGTTATTTATTATATATTCCAACAAAAAAGCCTAAAACAACAAAGACAATATTAGCAAAACCTCCAAGAATAGATAGTAACTTATCAAGTTTTTGATAAGATCTTGAAATATAATTGGTATAAGGAGATCTCCTCAAATAGATAGCTGCAAATTATTCAGCGGCATAAATGCTCTAATCTCTATAATCACCCTCTTATTTTGCAAACAAATGAATTGCTTCTAATTCTTCACTTGTTGGTAATAAATTATTATCTGTTTTCAAAACATATTTCGTAAAAAAAACATCAGTCTCTTTACCTATAATATTGGGTACAAAAGAGAAGAATAATTCATCATCAAGAAATGATTAAATATAATCATCTCCTTTTTAAGGATTAATAACTTTATTAGTGATGTATCTTAAAATGAAATGAATATTTAAATACAATTTAACTCTAAAAGATCTCTAATCCAATAGCCATTCATCTACAATTTCCTAGGAAGCACATACAGGCTTCCAACTAAAGAAGGAATTAGATTAGGTCTAATTACTACATTCGTTTACAGCAATTTTAAGGAAATCAAAATATTTATTTGTATACCTTCCCTTGAGAGATAAAGAATAATTAACCCTATATTTGAAATCAAGTTATACTAAGGACATAACCAAGTATCGAGACCAATTTCCCGATATTATTATGTAAAATTCATTCCGTAAGGTTAAAATACATTTTGAAATCGATCTAAACTGCAGGGTATCAAATCAATGAATTGATCTTTCTTTATGAGAGTGCCATTTTCTAGTCTTTCATAATATCTGAACTGTTTAATATATTATGGTACCTTTAACGTAAAGTTATGTTAAAAAATGGATTTGTGTTGAAGTTAGCTTATTCTATAGCAACAGCAAACATGAAATTTGAATCATTCAGTTCTATTTAATCTGGTTCATCTTCAAAAAGTTCAGTTGCCTCACTTTATATGTTAACTTTATTAAGAAAGTCTTGAATATTGGATTGAAAAAACAAAACAACAATTCCTAGAATCATTAAGGTGAAGAAACCACCAAAGGCAGTTTTATATTCATCTTCTCCGTTAAGATTAAGCATAATGTTCTATCCAAATAAATCAATAGACTTAAGCACTTTGATTAGCAATTTAAATTACACTTCACAATAGATTTTCTTATACTCTTCATTAAATTATATAAAATTATAGAAAATAATGATTCTCATTTTCTGATTAGTTAGATAATGGATAGAATTCTAAAACAAGAACATGAACCCTAAACCAGTAATATGCTTATTGTTTGTCTGGTGTAAAAACAAGGTTTTTAAAAAGTGGATTAGAAACTAGGGACAGGATATTAATCTTGAAAATAATAAATTATTTATTTGATTTACCATGAGTTTTAAATTATTTTCATTAAAAGTGCCTGATAATCTTTCTGAATATAATTTAGTAGATTTTTTAATTGAGTTAGTTTTCTTTAGCAATTAGTTAAAGATCAATAAATGTATTCATAAGATATTATTCTTTATTTTGATCAGGATGTTCTGGTAATTTAATCACAGAACTCATATCATTTAATTAAATTCTTTCTAAAAATCCAATTTTGTCTAAATAATTTTGAGGAATCCAACCAAGATTTACAATCATGATATTATTAATATTATCTTTTAAATAAACCGCATTACACCATTCCTGGTCTTTCAACTTAATATTTGTTAGCTTTATTGAAATATTTATCAAGTTATCTACAAGAATCTTTATTAAATTAACCTAGATGTTTTAATAATTAGAAATGAATATTGTTTAGGATCTAATTACAGAATATCTAAAATGGCAATTTGTTAAACTGTATAATCTGATTTGAATTTGTTCTTCTATTAATTTCCATTTTCGTATAGATTCCTTATAATGACAATATTATTAATTTCATGCTAACATTGTTATAATTGTGATAGAAGACATTACACCTGCAAATAAAATTCTTTTCATTAATATTCTTAATAAAATTGTTTATTAAATAAATCATTCCTTAAAGAATTTATATACTAAATTTGATAAACAAGTAGCACTCTAGTATTATTATTCTTCTTCATTTAAATCTATAATTTTAAATCAATCTATACCTGTATTAATATCTTCTATTATTGAATTGTTCCATTATTTTTTATTAGATTATTCAATCCAATCAAATTGGTAGTTTTCTATTATTTTGTTTTCCCTTAAGATCTTTCTAAATAAATTAATTAAGAACTCATGATCTAGTTTATTTTTATGTTGATTCCATTTTATGTACCCAAATAACTCAGAAAATGGGAGTTGACTCATAGCCTTTGAATTTATATACTATTCTTTCTATTTTAATACTACTTCATTAACCAGAACTTGATTTCCATACTTTTTCCAAGGTAAATGACCTACTCATATTTTAATTTGAATACCTTTATATAAAAATACTAGAGTATAAGCTAACATTTCAATGTCATCAATAAATTTATATTTCTATCTTTTATGCACAGATATTGGATCATATAAAAATGTGCCTTCTACTTCTAAACCTAATTCATTCTAATTCTATTCTTTTGCTATTCCAAAATCTATCAAGTATATTTGTGGTTCTTAAATAATTATTTATTAAAACCTTCAAGTGATTTCACCATTAAGTTTGTAGGTTTAATATCTCGATGTACCAAATTCATTTAGTGTACTTACTTTAATATCTCCAATATCTGTATTGCTATAAAACAGATGCATTTCAAAGAAAATTGCTTTTATTTACATCTTATTGTATGTAAATCTTAAAATAAAAGTTCCATATTCATAAAACTTCCTTTTTCCTATTCTTCTAATCCATAAATCTTAGGTATTCCTATTATCTTCTATAATTTTAGAGTTATTTGATATTCTCTTTGTAAATTGAATTGAGAATATTTTATTGCCACTTCTTTGTTCTTTGCTAAATCTATCCCTTTGTATATGGATCCAAACCCTCCTTTATTTATCTTACTTTAAATTTAAAATCCAGGAAGCCTAAGATTTTCTTTTTAAAAACTTAAGCTTTTTTATGATCTAGCCATTTTTTTAATTATTTTATATCTGCTAGAAGTCTATATAAATATATTTATGAAATATTATAAGATATATCTATTTGCATTCAATAGAAATTATTGGTATATCAATATATATTAAATCATATTAAAAAGTTTATCAATTTCTTATATGATTTAACATAAAGCTTTATAAGAAAGAGTATTAATTTTATAAAATTTAAAATTCTTTTATCATTTAAATATTTCCAACTTAATTCTCTTTCAAGTACTTTGAATTATTTATGAAAGTGCTTCTTTGAAAAATAATAAAGATATCTTAGAACTTATTTTTAAGATAGAAAATTTAAACTAATGTTCAATCTCAATTCAAATTATTACAATAAACATTTTTACAAGAGTGAAAATAAATGGAAATTTAAATGAATAGATGTTGAGAGACGTATTAAATGATCACTTAGATTGTTTAAAATAATTAAGATATTTATATATAATTTACTTTTTAATAGTGTATGAAATCTTAGAATTCTAAAAAACCTAATCTTAAAATCGCACTAAATAAGAAATAGGTAGCATCATCAATAAAATAAGAGAAACCACCAAGTTCCAAATGTTCTTAGAAGACAACATCTTCAAATGGAAATGTAAGAAATATAGTGTATATGAATGATTTAGACCACTGCTTCATCCAAATAATTATGTTTTAAATTTCATGACATTTAATCAACTTCTAATCCAACTATTATTTCTGAAGGAGAGAAAAAATGTAAATAAAATTAACAAATAATTACCAAGCTCTTGATCAAAATCAAACATAATAGATTTAATTGCTGATTCAAGAAGTTTTACAATTATAAAAGGAAAGTAAAGACATGGACACCATTATTTCAAAACTTATTATAAATAAAAAATCAGACATTTCAGATAGAGCAAATACATCAATTACTGAGAGGAATACTAAAAAATTCTTATCTATGTATTATATGTTACGTAAGAATCTAGAAAAAAGTTGCAGCCAAACACTTGTGATTAAAAATATAATACTCCTCTCAATTTCACATTTTGTAATGTTGATGAAACACAATAAGTAAGAGTCATATAGGCTTAAACTATGACAAGATCTTAAAAAGGACTTCCAGATGTGTTTTAAGTTGTACCAAATCAGAGACGGTTTTTCGTATGACAAAAGAATTTGAAAAGAAATTGTTATACGATTTTATATTTAGTTTCAATTAGATCGAACAAATCTTCTTACTTAATTATTTAAATAATCCACTTATTCTCTGTTTAAAGATAATTTATTAAATTCAATTATTATTATGCTCCAGAACTGGACTTTAATAAATATTTAATAAAATAATTTATATTTTAAATGTTTAATCAGTTGATTAATCGATACTATTGTTTTTACAAAAGATAATATAAAATATTTGAAAAAGGTTAATTCATTTATTTTGAGTTGAATCTCTTAAGTGAAATAAGTGTCTTTGAATTGTTAATTATTTATTTGTATAATATATCAAACATATTTATTGGCAACTCTATAAACTGTCTGTAAATAATTTCCAATTAGTGGTGAGCAGTATTTTCTTCTATCTGCATCAGGATGTATTTTTTAGATTTAACTGTAGAGAATATCAGATGAAACAATATCACAATAGAAAAAAGAATCTACATTTCTTTACATTCTAGCAAATGCAGATAAATTTTATCGGAAGAAATTAATATCATGAATTTCAAATTCAATTTCACATCTTCTAATATTATTAATTATATTATCTTTGATTGATGGAAATTTAAGTTCTGGAGTCACATCATATAATTTAGATAAAAGATGATATAATAGTTTTTTCCATTAGATTGATCCATTCTCTTTAAATTAACCTCTAAGTTCTTAAAAGTTAAAAGTATCAACTGTCAAGACTCTGCTGAGACTAATCTCTAAAAATTAATATTCTATTATTTAATATTATTTAAATCTAATTGATCTAAATTTATTTCTTTCAATAAAGTCATCAAAATCTACAGGCACATTGAATTTATTTTCAATATTTGCAGACAATCTATATTGGATATTATCTTTCATAATATCTAAATTTTCTAATCTTTTTTTTTAAATGATAGCTTTTCTGCCATTCAAATAAACAGAAATTCTTTGACCATTTTATAAAAGCATATCTAATCGTAATCCATAATTTTATCGCAACGAAGGTAACATTTTTTCAGGATCAATATACAAACTATAAATTTAAGAGGCAAACTCATCTTTTTATTTTTCTAGATTTCTAAAATATTGAGTTAAACTAATATAGCTTTATGATAAGGAATTAGTATCCCATTTAGTCTATGGAAAAAGAGCAAAATTAGGCTAAAATGTATAATATTACGCTAATTGTGTTATCAAAATATGATGATATTTAGATGCAAATCTAGAAGGCTTAGATGTGTATATACTTAAAATTATCAATCATATTTTAATGATTTTATTCTTTAGCAATGAAAGTACCTATCTTTATTTCAATTTCTAATTATTATTCTTATGAAAGATTGGCTGTCTATTCAAATATAGTTCTAAAATATCTAAGAATTTGCTCTTAGTATTCATCAAAATCAACTCTAATAGGAATGAGTTGATTTCTGATTGCTTAGTCTTTTTGTTTTAAGTAGGATAATAAATCATAATTGGGGTAATTCATTAAATTATTTATAAAGATGCATTAAATTTATTTATAAAGAAGTAATAAATTAATCATTGTAAAATGATTAATCTCTAATACAATTGTAAATATTTTCTAAGATGCTTCATTGAGTTGTTGCAGATATAAATTAACTATAAAAAGATTTGTATAATAATTTACATTATATTTTTGAATTTATACTTGAATAAACTAGTAGAGTCTTTAAAAATAGTTAATAAAATTCTGATTGATACAAATGTTAACAATATAGTAAGTAAAGTCATCATACTTTTTGATAGAATGACTATATTATTATAGAGAGTTCTAGAATTCAATGATGGTGCTTAAATTGGCCTTTTTAAGAGAATTGAAGTCATCTTAATCAGCAGGAACATAACCATAACAAATATGATTATCTAATTGATATATAGATCTCTTGATTTGAATTAATCCTTCACAGAAGACTACTATATAATTTTTGTAATAATCATCTAATTGGTTATTTTATTATTAACTTACTTGTATTATTAAGATTCAATTAATAAAGAGGACTAGTATAATGCCTCTTTTTAATATAATGGAATTAATAACTAATTTCTCTTTCTTCCAGAATATTTACAAGTATTCTTATATAAGATATATCTTCTTTTTATTTCATGCTGACTCTTCTTTAGAATATTCCGAGATCATAACATGATCCAGAAACAAATATTGGATATTTATTAGGATTGTAGCACTAAAATAAAATCTTCCTGTGATTCCAAATATCAGTAATAACTAACATATATAAATTAAAATATACTAGTATTTTCATTTGTTCTTACTATTCGATTAGGTCCCATTTCCCATTCAATATTTTAAGGTCTATCAAATTCGCCAAAGAAATATTTGTATTCAATATCTTAAAACTCTTAATCAATAATATTTATTTCTAATGTTGATTTCCATATGTCTCCCTTTTATTTATTAATATTAATGATACTTACTTCACTCCATTGCATTCTTAAAGCTTACATAGGATTCCAATGACCCAATTCCTTACTATTACCACAAACATATACAGCTTCACCAAAAGCCAAAGGAAATTATATTTAGAAGGTAAGCATTGGTATAAATTTTTAAATGATTATCCTACAGATTTGTGTCATCTAATTTGTAATTCATAATAGTTATTATTTTCAATACTACGTATCAAAATGATAAAATATTATTTTTTTAATTTTCTGCTTTTCATTTTAAATAAATGTTAATTTATTTTAAATTAAATGGATATACTCCTACCTCAGAAATAAGGTGAATTAATTTATATTTATATTTCGACTCAAAATCTTAGAAATTTTGATAATTCCAATATCCTTTATTTACAATATACTTATTAGATGATTTCTATGAGAAAAAGAAGTGTCTAAATCATTTCTTGATTCTTAATTTTGAATATCCTATTCAAATAATATATAAATTTAACAAAAAGAATAAAAACTCATATTTTAAATTGTAGGATGCTAATAATCTAATGTATTAATAAGTCAAACCAAATTAAAATGCTTTATTTGAATCATTAAAAAAACCACTCACTAAACTTATATAAGCTAGAAATTCATTCATTGATTTAACTTAATCTAACTAAAGGTAGGAAATATTATTAATTATATAATAAGGATAGAACCTCAAATAATTGAATCAAATTAATAAGCAAAAAAAGTTACTGAAATAAAAGAGCGTTCTCATAATATATTATTTTATTTTATAAAAAGGTATCAAATTACTTGATTTAGATTTTTTCAATAAAATCAAAAAATTAAAGAATATAATTTCATTTATTGACATTTAATGGAAAGATTGCTAATATTATTAAAGTTAATAATTATAAAACAACGAATAGAATCAGTATAAATAAATAGTATAAGTAGAATTAAAAGATTCAACATTTTTAGATTATTTGATGGGTAGATAATTATCTGTTCCTTAGATTGTTTTTTTCGAGATCAATATTTATNTCCCATTTCCCATTCAATATTTTAAGGTCTATCAAATTCGCCAAAGAAATATTTGTATTCAATATCTTAAAACTCTTAATCAATAATATTTATTTCTAATGTTGATTTCCATATGTCTCCCTTTTATTTATTAATATTAATGATACTTACTTCACTCCATTGCATTCTTAAAGCTTACATAGGATTCCAATGACCCAATTCCTTACTATTACCACAAACATATACAGCTTCACCAAAAGCCAAAGGAAATTATATTTAGAAGGTAAGCATTGGTATAAATTTTTAAATGATTATCCTACAGATTTGTGTCATCTAATTTGTAATTCATAATAGTTATTATTTTCAATACTACGTATCAAAATGATAAAATATTATTTTTTTAATTTTCTGCTTTTCATTTTAAATAAATGTTAATTTATTTTAAATTAAATGGATATACTCCTACCTCAGAAATAAGGTGAATTAATTTATATTTATATTTCGACTCAAAATCTTAGAAATTTTGATAATTCCAATATCCTTTATTTACAATATACTTATTAGATGATTTCTATGAGAAAAAGAAGTGTCTAAATCATTTCTTGATTCTTAATTTTGAATATCCTATTCAAATAATATATAAATTTAACAAAAAGAATAAAAACTCATATTTTAAATTGTAGGATGCTAATAATCTAATGTATTAATAAGTCAAACCAAATTAAAATGCTTTATTTGAATCATTAAAAAAACCACTCACTAAACTTATATAAGCTAGAAATTCATTCATTGATTTAACTTAATCTAACTAAAGGTAGGAAATATTATTAATTATATAATAAGGATAGAACCTCAAATAATTGAATCAAATTAATAAGCAAAAAAAGTTACTGAAATAAAAGAGCGTTCTCATAATATATTATTTTATTTTATAAAAAGGTATCAAATTACTTGATTTAGATTTTTTCAATAAAATCAAAAAATTAAAGAATATAATTTCATTTATTGACATTTAATGGAAAGATTGCTAATATTATTAAAGTTAATAATTATAAAACAACGAATAGAATCAGTATAAATAAATAGTATAAGTAGAATTAAAAGATTCAACATTTTTAGATTATTTGATGGGTAGATAATTATCTGTTCCTTAGATTGTTTTTTTCGAGATCAATATTTATAGCTAATATATTAAATATTAATTTAGAGTAGAATATAAAAAAAGAATATTTATACAGTATCTATAATTATGGATAAATAGAAGTTTAATAATCATAAATAAAGATTATTATTTAGAAAAGATGTTATCTGAATCTATATTTATTATAATAGCAATGTTTATGTTCATAATTTGTGTTAGAGATGAAAATTTTCTGTATATGAAATAATTTGATGATCCTAAATTTCCTTATGAAAAAGCAAATCAAATAATTATCTATCTGTAGTTATGGGGATGAATTATTAAAATAAATTTATTGTAATATATAAATAACATTGAACCTTTTAAAGGGTTACGTATTTAGATTGATGAAGTATTAATACGATTAGAAAATAAATAGATTAATGATATATTTATTATATTTTGGATGAATATCAATCAAACATGAACGTTTGAGAAATCAGCACTTTTAACAAGAGCTAAAGCTTATTCACTGATTCCTAATTCTCTGGTGAATTCATTCTTGGTATTGGTATAGATATCGGTTTCTTCAGCATAGGTATTATTTTCTAATTCTAATTCAGCAGTGTATTATTTTTAATCAGCTGCTCTTTAATCTCTGAATTCAGACAATTAATCAATTTTTTCTATAGAAAGATTATAAATATGAATTTATACCATTGGTGGCTGTTAAATCAACAGTAGCTCTATCAATTTATCTTTAGAATTCAGCATATTCATCATCTAATTGTTCAAGATAAGCTTCATGATCTAAAACATCTTAAGCTTCTTATGCTGTTAAATCATTGATTTAATCAACAACAGCATTTCTAAATTCATTAAGAGCATCAACAATATTTTTCAAAACATCTTAGTTAGAGAAATTTTGATTAGAAGCTAAAGCAATTAAAGCTTTAATCATTGGTGCCATTCTTGATCTTGATCTAATTTTATTTTCAATATTTTTGAGAGTATTTTAGAATCTTCTAATTTATAATAATGATGGATTAGTTAATGAAGCAAGAAGAGCTAATGCATCATCAACTGAAGCTGTAGCATCATTTAATTCAGCAACTTATGCTTCAAATGCATCATGTTCTTATTCTCTAACTAAGATAGCTTCATCATAATTCTTTCTATTATCTTCTTAATATCCAATGACAGAATCAATCTTGCTTTAGATTTAAGCTCTTCTTGGATATAATAGATTATCTAAGGTATCTTATGTATTATTGACATCTTAATAATTTCAAATTAAAATATACCTATTACAGCATCTTGAATGTCTTATTCTAATGAAACAACTAAAGCATTGTGTTCATTTGTTCTAACTTTGAAATTGAATTCTAATTCTTCTAATTCCTCTTCTAAATCATTAATTAATTCTTCAATAGCATCAATCAATTCTTAAACTGGTCCTCCAGCCATTGAATGTAATTCAACCAAGTGAAGTAATGCACTTCCATAAGTACTTTTACTTAAATCAGCTTACACCTTTGCCATATTTCTCTCTTGGACTCTAGCTGTAAATCCTACAACAATTAAGGCAATCAGAATTATTGATTTCATTTATTTTATTTATTAATCATATAAAAACGAATTTTTTTCAATTATCAACCATTAATTAATCATACTTATAAATTTCAATTCTCATTTCTACTCTATTTCCTTTTATTCATCCTATCTATCATTTTATACTCCTACTCTCTATATTTCATAACCTAATTATAATTATCATTTTCTTTATTTCTAATTCAAAAACGAATTTATTTTATCTCTTTTATTAATATCACTTTTCTTATTATTTTTATATCCTAATACTCAAATTTATATTTCTTAATCATAATCTTTATCTCATTTTTATTCGATCTCATTCATCTCATGATATTTTAACTTTATATTTAAATAATATTAGAATCTAATTATTATTATTAATCTTAAATCATTTTATCATATTATAGTTTATAATAATTATAAATATCAATCTAAACCAACCGATTTATATCTTTATCATTCAATAAATTCTAAAACCAATTATATTTAATGACTATGTTTTGATTTACAATTGAATAAATTTCTTATCTCTTTCAAATAACTTAATGCCTTCTTTTAATCAGTTGTAAATTATTATTTATGATCAATAACTTACCATTCACTCACATCTGTCTCCTCTTCTATTGTTTATATCATATAATCAGAATCTGAATTCTAACTCATCACTCTCCCTATCTAATTTTCATCTATCATAAAAGTCACTTCTTCTTCTACTGAATACATCAATACCTTCTTCTCAGTTGTTCTTATTTAATCTGAATTGAATCTCATCAATCTATAATTTTACTTTGGAATCATTGTCTATTCCTAAAATGATAATGATCTGGGTTTCCCTATCTCCTCACTCAAATTCAAGTGTTAATGAAACCTAACTATTATTTCCAAGTCATCTAACATGTTTAAATGATAACATTTATATAATTCTAAATTCTAGTTTTTACCATTATGATCAATAACGATTTACAGTAAGTAGTTTTAATAACACTATTACTTACTTAGAAAATTCTAATACAATTAACTCTTTGTAAACATACAACAAAGTTAATTTTTTTCAAATGTACACTGTTTCCCACATTCTTTATTTCCCTTGTTACTACTACTTTTAAATTACAAAATCCATTATTCTGCTAATATCCTCCTGTGACTCATATTATGTTCTAAGTAAATCCATATACATAACCCAATTTCATCAGTTTTTTAATTTAGCGTCTTATTCCATATTTGATTATTAACCGCATCTTCTTACTTTTTGCATACTCTTTTATTTAGTATAGTTGTCATATATTCATTCAAAATAAATTTGTGATTTTGCATAGTTTTTATGAGATGCTCCCTTTTTAAATTGTTATAATTTATAAATTAGACATTCTTTTCTAGACACATTTCTACTTAACTTTCAGTCTTTTTTGATTTATTTCTGAACAAACCATCATCTTAAACTAATTAAAAAGAAGAACATATCTTAAAGTTATTTAATCATATGACCACGTTCATATCTTTGTCCAGTCATGAACTTTAAATTTTATATACTATACTATGCAATTGTGTTCAATAAAATTAATAAAATTAATATGCAAAATGAAATTAAAATAATTAATATTATTAGATACTATAATCAAGTATATTTACATACACCATAAAATTTTATTTCTTGATTCCTTATCCAGAACAACTTTTATTAAAAACAACCATAATTAATTACCATTAAAATTATCAATATTATTGATTTTTAATGCTATATAGAATTAATTTAACATTTTATATAGAATCAACCACTTGATAACTCTTAAATGATGATTAAATAAATGAATAAGTTTAATTATTGAGTTCTAATAAAATCTACTCTAAAAATGCAAAAAAAGCTTCATTAGATTATCTTTCGTTCGTTATCTTTAGAAAAATAATTCTTAAATTGCAAATTTGAGCATGTAAAGTTATTAATGTAATTGATTAGTATTAAGAAATCTTAGATCAAAATTTTAATAAAAACCATACTAATTCTAAAATTGATGATGTTATTAATTTTATTTATATATCAAAATGCTTAGCATATTTCATACTTCCAAAAGCAAGACATCAAGTATTGACAATAATAAACTTCGTTGTCACTCAACTAGACTATCTCAAACTTAATATTCTGGTCCAAGAGTAACTGAGGAAGATAAATTATTATTTGAGAACACTCAATTAAAATATCAGATTCATTAACTGGAAGAGGATTTTAAAATGTTTAAACTAAAATAAAAACCAATGAAAGTAAGCAAAATTCATAAATTTAGACTGAATAAAGTTATAATGGAGAAATTTATTTTCAATAATAGAATCTTCGTAAATTACAAACCTTGAATAAATAGCTTGAATCTGAATTGTTATAAAAAATTAAAATCATTGAAGAGATGAAAAAATAGATGAGCCTCACAAAATAGTAAGAATTATAAATTGAATGTAAGGAATATCAATCAGAATGCATGAGATTAAAAAAATAAATTTAATAAGTTAGTTAATTATTAAATTATAAAGTGAATGGAGTAAATTTTAAAGATGTACATGAAGATTTATAAAAAAGACTTAAAAAAATGCAAGTTGAAACTAATTAATAATAATAACTAATTTAATAATTACAATCAGATACAGTGAGATATCAAAATTAAATTGAAAAATTAGAGATTGAAAATAAACATTTGGATCGAGAAAATAAAAAATAATTACTATTGATTAGCCAAATATAAGTTCCTTAACAGAATAAATTTAAGAATAGATTATAAATATATAGAGATGAGGTTGAAATTACAAAACTTTAAGCAAAGATAATAGATTTATAACAATAACTTGTAAATCAATAGAATTATAAGGAGTTATATATACAATAACTCTTAAAAATAATCAACGAGAAAGATGATTAATTATAAGCTTATGAATTATCGAATCCAAATTTAATTATAAAATAAGCTACGGATACTTAATAATTGATATTAGATGAAAAGTATTAAAAGTGCGTTTAGAATATTAAAAGTGAAAAATCTATTTAGGATGAAATAATCAGTGAAATACCATCCTAATTAAATCTTTTTAGATAACCTAGTCTTCGTAAAAAATAACATATACTTGATTATCAGAAATCATTTTAAATCGAAATGACAAGTATTCATGGATTTGAAGAAGATTCAATATCAAATGAAGAAGATGATGAAGGATTATCCCTAAGAAAAGAATACAAAATATAAAAGCTGCCTAAAGTGAATTATTATGAGGTTAAATCAATAGGTAAAAAATTGAAGTTTTAATTCTAATTAAAATCAATCCCATTAATATATTTAGATCAACTATTAAATTACTATTCAGATTCCTAACTTTCAATTGAAGAGATCATAGATATTTTATCTAAAGAACCTTTCATGATGGATAATGAAAAAGAAAAACTCTTAGTTGCTAGATATCTTGTTGAAGATAATACATAAGATTAGGTTATGCATAGTCTTAAAAATTCTAATTCTATTTCAATAATTTAAAGTGTCTTAAAATAATTACTCGGAAAATATTAATTGTTTTCCTTTTCAGAAAAAACTAATATTGAATAAAATCTAAAATAAATTTTTACTAAATATTAATACAAAATTGAAGATACTTTATAATAAATAACAATAAAAAAATAAAAAACACAATCAGGAGAATGTGATTCTTCAGATTATGAAGCAACTTTAAAATTTTGTGAAATATAATTACTACCAAGATAAATTGAATATGTTGAAATGATAAATTACAATTTAGGTAAAAATTTAGAAAAAATTAATTACAAAGCTCTACTCTAATATTTTTGCAACACTAAATTATGATATTACATTGTATATATATTTTGATATTTATATACTATTTCTAAAACTTTTTTTTAAATATGAACTCCAGCATCAAATATTTTAATTAAGTGCATTAATTTATTTTATAATTTAATTTATAAAATAGATGATGAATTAGAATTTTCTCCTATATGATCTATGATTATTAAAAGTAAATATTTTTGGATTAATCTATAATTAATATCTTTATTGAAATTTATGTAATCAGTTTCTATCCTAACATGTGGCAATTAGTAAAATAAAAATAGAAAACAAGCTTGTAAACTAATAAAAACAATATGTATTTCATCATAATATGAGGATTTTACAAATAATTAAGAAATGTATTTAAACAATCTTATTTAGAGTTATTTGTTATAACAAAAATTCTTATAGTTGCCCTTAGTACAATTTTACTTTAAGAAAGCTAATACGAAAATTAAAATTGAAGAATTTACCTTTAATAATGCAAATTATAGATAAAAACAAGTATTATTTCAATTTTCATTAGATTAATGGTTGGAATATCAAATGGTGATGCTCAAATATTTGATCTTACTACTATAAAGTTAATTAAAATACTTGTTGGTCATGCTTATCAAATTCTACAAATGATACCATTTGCAGATTAATATTTGATTACTTTATGCCATAATAAAGAAGCAAGAATATGGAATTCTAGGAATTTTTAACTTTTATTCAAAGTTAATCATTAAATTGCTGTTAAAAATATATTCTTTTCTAAAGATGGTTAAAAAGTTATATTAATAGCATATGATGGGTCAATTAAAGTAATTTTCATGATATCTTAGGTATACAAAACTTAAACAGGAGAATTTATAAATTAAATAAATCACAATTAATAATAAGTTTATTATTGTAATTTTTTTTAACCTATTGATTAATGCTTAATAGGCTATTCAAACAAATAAGAGAAGTAAATTAAAAAATGCTATATTACTAGTACAATTCTCATATGGGATATAACTGATTAAACAAATAAGGTAATCTTCTAAAGATTATAGAAAAGGATTAAGAATGCTTATTTCAATTCAAAAAGTAAATATTTATTTAATCCAAAGATTTTGATTTGGTTTTGGTTTTTACAAATTCTTCCTAAATAATTATATATAATTTATTGACCTAAGCAATTAAAGCAGAAATCTTAGGATTATAGAATTAGATTGTCTTTTTAGATTTTACTAAAAACAATCATCTTATTATTTGTGACTCAAATAATATTGTAGTATAGTAATTATAGTTATTAATTAAGTTCTGACACAGGAAAATTTAAATAATAATTAAATACATTTATTGATATTTAGATTAGATATTTGAAGATCTTAGCAAATTTAAATCATGTTGTTAATACAAAAAATGAGTAAAACAACATTTAAAACATAACTCAAGATGAATAAATAAACAAAAGTGAGATATGGCTTTAAACTCCCTCTTATTTTTCAGCTATAAGATGATATTATGTTTAATTATAAATATTATCATGATATCCAAATTTTTGCATTTTAAAACCAAGAATTTGTTGAATCTAAACTAAAATAACAATATTTTTATTATTAGTTTAGTAAAATTAAAATAAATTCTAACATTATATAGATTTTAATAATTAGTTTTAATCAATTAAATTAATATTAATAAATAAATGAAAATGAATTAAACTTAATAATAATTAATCAGAAATTAAACTCCTGAAGACCTGATTTAATCATACTTAAAAAAATAAAGAGAAAATGATTCAACAAATTCTTAGATGTAAACTTAAATTAAAGTAAACCATATTTAATAGCATTCAATAGAATAATTAAAAACAAATTTAACAAATCGTTAAACTTCAAATGAATCTATTATGAAGAATGATAGTTAATTAGTTTACTAATTATTTCAACTTTAATAAAAAGTACGAAATTGCGAAAAATAATTCATTAAAAAAGAATTGCACTTATAGGAATAGATACTTTAAGCTCAAAAAAATTTTGAGAAAACAATGAATTTAATGAAATTGAAATATTAAATGCAAATAGAAGATTTAAATTCTGAATTAAAGATGAAAGATGAAGAAATCTGCAGTCTTAATTTATAATTACAATCAAATAATTTAAATAAAATAGGAGAACAAATTTTTTCATCATAATAAAAGCAAAAATCAATAAATAGTGAATATCCAAATTCTTAAAGTTCTAGAAAATATTGTTAATTCTAAATGCCTACTAGATCATTGAATTCAAGTAGAAAAGAGGGAGTTAGCAAATATTAGAAGGAATTAAATAGGATTAGAATACAGACAGTTGAATTTGCGGAGAAATTTGAAAATGAGAAACATCTAATAGAATCAGATATAGCAATATTGAAAAATTAAAAATAAATTCTTCGAAGTTACTTGAATTATAATAAAATTGAAAGTACAGATTAATCAAAATATAAGCCACCAATAAAGCTAAATAATTTAGTGATAAATAGATAGAATAGTTCTTCGTTTGGAGTAAAGGAATATTTTTCTCGTAAGTAATGAAAATAAGATTAATCTTTGTATTTATATTTAAATAACAATAAATAAATGAATCAATATTTTGTGAGGAGCTCCTCCATATATAAAATTTAATCAAAAAGTTACCAATAACCAATGTTTTCATCTCCTAATAATTAAATAAGTTATTTTCGTAAATCTTAAGTTGAGAATTCTAAATGATATTTAAAAATATTTACATTTAGTTTTCATTAATTATAAAGCTTTTTCAACAAGATTATTACCTAATCCACCTTCACATCTATGTCTTAAAAGCTTAATTCTATCTTGAATTCTAGCAACAATAGAATTAATAGGTTTAATTTCATCTTGATCTAATTCATCATAATCTCCTTATTCTTCATCTTCTTAATCTTCATTTTCTAATTCTTCTTCAACTAAAGGAATCACTTAACCAGCTATATTAATTAAATATAATTACTTTCTAATGCTTTTATTTACATATTTTATACTTATCTATTTTATTATAGAGACTAACTAATTTCTTATATTTTTAAAGTTTTATCTTTAAGTCTAGTTTTCATTAAATCAAGTCTTTGATCAACATCTCCTTCTTCTTCATATTCTTCTTCATTTTCAATTTCTTAAATTGCCATAACTCCTTCACTATCTTCTGAATCATCATATTCTTCTTATACTTTTAATGAACTATCTTTTGATTAACGATATTATGCTTATTTTCTTTCTTATGCTATTTTTCTATTTTAATAACTTTCTTTATATATCTATTATCTTTCTTTTTCTTCTTAAATAGTCTTTTCCTCTTCTCTTTTTTGTTTTTTCTAAATAACTTTTTCCTTAGCACTAATAGTACTATCATCTCTCAATCTATCTTTTTCAAGTGATAAACTTCTTTCTTTTTATTTATATCTTATTTCATTTGGTCTTTTATCCCTTTCTAAAGAAACCTTTCTCTAACTCACTCTATGATAATCTAATCTTTATTATATTTCTGTTTTTTGTGTATTCTCTGATTTATTTGTAATATTTTCTGTTGTAGTTTTAGTATTTGTATTAGATTCAATATTTTTAGTATTTTATATAGGTACTTTTAATTGTTTTTTTTATTCTAATCTTTTAATTTCTTCTTCTAATTTTTTTTTTTCAATTTATTCTTTTTTTAATTGTTTAAGTTTAAGAGCTTCCTATTCTTATATTTAAATAAGCATTCTTTATTCTGCTCTTCCTCCTTTTTCTAATTCATTTTTAATATCTGCTATAGTAGCACCTTAAGCCATTTATTTTTGATAGTGTTAAATAAGTGGTAATACACCTATTTATTCAGCTTGCTCATATAATGTATCTACATACATATCATCTAAATCTGCTGATTAAGGTTCTAAGAAGATTGATAATGAATAATAATACCACTAAAAACTTCAAGCATATAATAAATAATCCTTAATTTAATGATTGGTTTATGAACTATTTCTTAAATTGTAGGTCTAGCCTTAGGATTTGTATTAAGCATTTTATTTATTAAATCTCTTAATGCTTTAGAATAGGAGGGACTAATAGATGAATAAGATCCTTTTAATATTTTCAAGGCTAAACCATTCATTGATTAGGCATCGAAAGCATGTCTCAGATTACACATTTCATATAAACAACATCCGAGTGCCCATACATCACTCTTATATGAATATGGTTTATATTTAAATAATTCTGGACTCATATAGTATGGAGTTCCTATACAAGTGTTGGCTAAATCACGTGTTGAATCAAGCACTTTAGCTATTCCAAAATCTCCTAATCTTACTCTACCATTCTTTAAAAATATATTTTATGTCTTTAAATCTCTATGTAAAATTTTTTATTCATGTAAATAACATAAGGCCAATGTCATTTATGCAAACCAATCCAATATTTGAGATTCCGCAAAACTTTTCTTATTTCGAATTTTTTAATATATATCTCCACCTTCACAATGAATCATCACAATATTTAAATATTATTCTCTATCTAAATAAGAATCCTTATAAGCCACTATATTTGGATGTCTCAATTTCTATAATAATCTAACTTCATTTTCTGTATTCTCACGATCCTTCTAACTCATGTCTCTTATTTTTATACGCTTAATCACATATAGACGATCTTCTCTTTTATTTCTAGCCAAATACACTTAGCCAAATGAACCAGACCCTATTGATTTTACTATTTCATAAAATTCCATTATTTTAAATATTCATTCTAATATAGTTAATTTATGTGAATATTATTTTTTATTCCAATTATTATTAGTAATTATAATAATACATTAAAATCATTAATTTAACTACCAAGGAGTCAACCCTTAACAATTTCTTAAATTTTGAGCTCCCTAAGCTATTAATATATCAGCAACATTATAAAAGTGATAAGCTATGGCTTTATGTAACGCAGTATCTCCATCATTCTTTTATAAATCATAAAAATATAAATTAATACATTTTACAAATTTATCTAAGCACCTCTATGTAATAAGAATTACACTATCTCAATATTCCCAGTCTATGCTGCCAATATTAAATATGTATTGTTCTCTTTTAAACGCTCATTTATTGCTTAATTAGGATTATTTGAGAATACTTCTTCAAGCTAAATATTTATTATTTATTAATAATACTTCACATAATTTTTATTCTTCAATTAATAATTTTATAATCTCTATTGTTTAAATAGATTATCTTCTCTAAGCTTCAGTTATTTAAGTTCTCATTTATAAAGCATGTTTGCCCATTGAAGCCAAAATAAAAGCATTTCTTCTCTCTTGACTTTTCGTCACAAGTGGTTTTACAGTCTCCTCTTTTTAAGAAATTGGAATCGTTGTATTTTACATCGTCTATGTAACCTTCATTTTATTTGATTAAGTAGTATTTATATTACTTGTTTCTTTAATACTTGTATCTTCTTATGGAGAATCACTCCTTCTATGTACAACACTGGTTTAACTGGAAGTAGCTTCAAGTAACTATTTAAGAGGTTTAGAAGTATTATTTTAATTAATAGTTGTTTAATTTCGAGGTGATATAATTTTTGAATTATGTTTTTAATTTGATCTTTCACTTGGAGGAGATTAATCATGATTTGAAGGTTTTTTCTTGATAGGTTTAGTAAATTTGATATTGATTTTATTAGTGGGTTATTGAATATTTGTTTAATCATCTACTTCAGTAAAACCATAATTATTTATAAGATTATCAATTTCATGTTCATCTTCAAAAATTCCAGTTAAAATTTCATTATATCTATGCATCATTACATTGACTTATTTTATATGATCCTTTTTTTTAAGATATCTATATAAAGAATTGACTGTTCTATTAATTTATTTGTCATCATTTAAATTTTCTGAATCCTTAATTATTTTAATATCACATGTAAAGTTTTCATCTTGAAGCATCAAATTTTTGGCTTATCCATCCAAACTACTAATTATAAAATTAAGATATGAAGTAAAATTTGTAATTTTAAGTGTGGATTAACATTCAATAATATCATAACCTGTAAAATCACTATTAAAGCTATCTATATTATATTTTGAATGATCATCAAATGAATAATCAAACCAATAGATTTCATTAAATATGAAATTTTAATTTTCTACTTGAACTTCAAAGATTGGATTGGATAATTGTTCTGAATAGATATTGATTGGACTAGTATAACAAGATTGGAGTCGACTAGATTATTAACTTTCACATAATTTTAGAATTGAGATAGAAGAACGCTTTTCTTAAATTAATTAGAAATGCATTAATATATTTTCCTCCAATTTTGTAAAAATCCGAGACATCTTATTTTATAAATACATTTTCGTGAACCTACTAGTCTTACTTCATAAAATAATTACTTTTTCTAGATTATAGAATTGATGAACATCTTCATTAAGATTCTCTTAATCAGTTATACCAATAATCTTTTATATGGATTTAGAAAATTTTGATGTATTTTTTTTAGTTTATTAGGTAATCTAGGATTATATAAAATGTAATTACAAATTATAAAGCTGACTTTAAAACATGTTTTGGTTAATCATTAAATACCTATAACTCTTCATTATGTTGTTCTGATATCACACAATAATCTGGAACACTAAATGAATAGACGCCTACCTAATTTTCAGGATTAAAAACAGATATAGTCAATATTCTTCTGTTAATTTGTGTTGTAGGTTAAAGTTATTCCTTTTTCTCTTCTATAGGATCCAGCATTATAGTACTTCCTGCTTTTTATATTGATGTTGGTTAATTCTGATATTAAATTGTAGATAAATGATTCGTAAATGTAAATCGAGGACTTGTCATTTAAGTCTTGAATTTATCTGATAAAAAACTATTTTCATTTGTATGAATATCATTATGCTAAATATGACTAGTAGTCATTATTTATCGAATTTTTTTTAAGAATATTTTTATGTTTACATTGTCTTCTTTAGAAATTAAGTAATTTCCAATTTTCATTCCTTATTTGAAAATTTTTTATTTGCATTCAATCTTAAATTATACTGGACCATCTAATGTAAAATGATTTCCCTCATCCTTCTTTTATTTTTCTTCAGAAATAATATTCTTGAATTATGGTGAAACGATTAGTTGGAAAAGAGACTGCTAATGTTAGGTTTCATCTTCTCCAACACTTCCTAAAGTTTTTATGGATATTCCCTTCATTAACTTTCTTGAAACTACCCTTCCACTTAATGGTGCAGGCACTTAAATCTAACAAATTTAAGCTATAGGTAGTAAAGGCAATGTATTCTTCATAAAGGATCTTTAAGTTGTTCTTCCAATGAAAAATGTCTTAGTATTTGAAACTTCTTAAACTGTATGTATAGATTTCACTTTATGGTGATCTTTGATTTTCATTTTATTATATTAAAATACTATTTAATATTTATAAACTATATGTCCAATCAATTCTATAAAAGAAAAAAAATATATTCAAATATAAATTTATATATAAATAAGAAAATTGAGTAACTTTAAGTTGTTCTTAATTACAGACAAAAAAAAGAAAGTTTTATAATTTAATAATTGCATAATGACAAAAATAAGAGATTCTCATTAATTTGTGTTGCTTTCTTGTTCAATCCATTATCATTGTACCATACTTCAGTTCCAATTAAAGAATAAATATTCTAACCAGTTGTTGTGACAAATTATTATAAGACAAATTGATGATTAAAATGCAATAGTTGGATTAGACTCCTGATATTTATCAATATCTGAGAATCTCAAGTTTCACAAAGAAATTATCTCCTATAAATGCTAATTTTGTTGCTCTTGATCCAACATTATTCTATTTTCGAATTTTAAAAGGTACTTGTTGCAATTTGAGTCATTACCTTTACTCTAATACTATTGCTAGTCTAATAGAATTGATTTCCTTTTTTTTTCTTTTTTAATTTAATTAATGAAAAAATCTTGTATACGTATTTATATAAAAATTGAAATATAAAATAAGTTCTACTTGCTTCTGGTAGTCACTTTATTCATTGCTATGATTTTAACCAATGCTTCCTTTGTTTCACTTTAAAACTCTCATTTTTAATTTTTTTGGGTTTGTTTAAAGTATTTTCTAATTGTTCATTTCCCGTAACGCTATATATTTTAGAAATTTAAAGGTGGAAAAAGAATAAGTTATAAATCATTTTGTAATATTAGATGATGATGAAGCAGAATTATTTTATTTAATTAAAATTTTTTTTCAAATTCAAAAATATTATTATTTGAAAAGTTCAATGTACATTAATTTAATTTGGTCATCCTATGAATTAATAATATAATGTTGATATGATTGTGATGGCTGTAAGTAATAGAATAGAGAAATTAATGATACAATTTAGATTAGATGTCTATTCTTCTTGAGTTGAAGCTAATTAAGTTTGCTAAATAAATACTTTAATTATTGAAAGCAGAATTATTTTATTCAAAAGCTTAAAGATTTGTATTGATTATAGAGGGATTAGAGCTACTTGGTTGAATTGATATGCCAATCTATGCTTTTTTGAAAAATTTATGTTTAGCATGCTGAGATTATTTATATATGTTGAATTACTTTTTAAGGGATAATTTTCCTTTTAAATTATAGTTTAGCTAACTCTTATCGAGCTTTTTCTTACTATTAAATCTAAGTAGCTTTATCAACATAATTCCATTAATTCTATTTAAGCCATTGTCGAATGTCTTCCAAGTTTTGTTCTTAAATTTTTTTAAACTCATTCTACACTTAGGGATCCAGTAAATCTATACCAAAGTTTTGAGCAAATTAATATAATTTCTTAAATTGATGTAATCTTTACTTTTTTAGGCCTGTTAAAATCTAATTATGAGATCTTCTCCAATTATTTCTTAGCAATCAATGCCTTTTAAAGTTTATCTCTTAAGTCTTCTGCTTCTCTCAACTAGCCGTTATGTTAATATGTTTTCACCATGTCCATTCCTCTAGTTTCAATAAATCGTCCTAATTCTTACACTTCAATAGGAATAGGTTTCTTAGGATCTTATTCATAACTAAGTTCTTAGTCATTATCTTAATATGCCAATTAGGCCATAAAATCTTAAGGTAATTCATCTTCTTCTTCTTCTTCATCAATATTATATTGAGAAGTTTCATCTAAATATTCAGAATATAATTCTTTGTCATTGTCATATTCTTTAAACTTTTATTATTTAGCCTTTATCATATCGTAGACTTTTGCTATGCCTTCATTATTAGGATCCAATTTCTGTGCGAAATTTAAATCTTTATAAATCATTTAGCAATCTAATTATGTAAGTTACTCCGATAAAAACCGAGACTAATTTATCTAAATGTTTAGTACTTTTGCTCTTAAAATAAAAGCCCCTGCACATAAAGGATTCAATTATTACCAATAATCACACATCTTAGTACAAGCTGCTTATTCATGCAAAACATAATAACATTTACCCATTAATTCGAATAATTTCTTCCAAAGGTCTTAAAAACAAACTTAATTAATAATATGTACCATTTATTTATTATTGTTCAGGGTGATGTTTACTACTCAAATCTTCAAATTTTGTTTCCTCCCATCGTTTTGATTGTTTGACTTCTACAAATACTGACATACATATCTCAAATTAATCTATTGCACTTTGATATTAATCTAGAGAATTAAATTTGTTTAGGTACTTTGATTAAAGAATTTTAAACCTCTTTCAAATAATAGTTCATAAATTTTCATTTTTTATGAGAAAGATTGTCGTGATAATTGCTTAAAAGCTAGACGAAGCATATAGTTTATAAATTAATTAAAAATCTTAAATATTCTGTGCAAGTTTGGTATTGTATTAATTTTCATGATGTTGAAATTTTGTTAATTAATTGAAATGATAATAAGGTTAAGATAAAAAGAAAAAAGAAAAATAAATAGTAATCATACAAAATAATAATAATAATATTAATAATAAATGTCAACTAAATTTCGTTAATCGGTGCGATTCTTACTTTGGGTGATTCGTAAAAATGTACCTGGAAGAATAGCATTGTTGAAGTCGTAATGTCCCTCACCTAAATGAGATCCAAATAGCGGTCGTAACTTGAGGTTTTGCAAGTAAGTGCACTGATGCAACGATTTCAATACTGTAGAGACATGATCACAAAGGAAGGATTCGAGAAATACAATAAGTTTTGTGAATTCTTGTATACAATATACTGCAGGACAGGAGAGAGAGTAATTCGTAAAGGACAATAGGGAGTGCGGTTTTACATGATTTTGTAAGGATAAGTTTCATTGGTGAGCTACAAACCTAAGAATCGTAAGGCATAAATGATGATTGATTAAGAGAAAGTAAACAAGTTAAGGTTATTTAAAGGAAACAGTTCCAAATTATGAGGATGATACTTTATTTAGCGCTTTCAGTTTTAAAGATTTGAATCCAGGAGATCATTTTGGGGATATGTCATTATTAGATAATGGATAAGTGTCATGTACCATTATTTGTAAAACCTTTTGTTAATTTATATGTATGGATAAACAACAGTTTGTTAAATTTATTGGAAAATCAGTACCAGTTTTATAAAAATTAAAAATATTAGAAGAATAGTCAATATTTAATTGTTGGACTGATGGAGAGTTGAGAGCATTAAGTTATGAATTCAAGAGTAGAATATATCATCAAGAAGAATTCTTATATTAAGAAGGATAAAAGAATGTTTAGGTCTTTTTAATAATGAATGGATAAATTGAGATGACTTCAACTCGTGATAATTAAACATATCATCTTAGTTCCTTAGATATTGGTGCACTCTTTGGAGATGATTCTGATTATCATACATGCAATGCTAAATGTGTTTCAGCTAGAGCCGAAGTTCTTGTAATTGGAAGACAAGTTTTAAATAGAATGTTAGATTGGCATCCTGAATCTAAAATATTGTACAAATTATAATTATGTATTCTCATCTTATTTATCCTAGAACAAAAAGCTAGTTGGAGATAAGAGAGATTAAATAATCTTATTGAATGTCATGAAGAAAAAACTAAATGTAGAAGAACTTAATCTGTTAAAATGCAATTATTGGATTTATTAATTAAACCTAAGTATTAGAAAATACGTCTATCTCCTTGTGTTAAGAGAGTCACTAATATTCAAGATACTATGGATTTTGAAGAAAAAAAACTAAAACATAAAGAAATTTTGGAAAAACAAAATCTTGTTATATCTTAACGCAAAATTGAATTTTTTAAATTGGGTCAAACATTTACAGAAAAAAGAAGAAAAAAGCAAAAATAATAATAGGAGGAATTAAATGCCAAATTAAAAAGATAATGTGAAAGTGTTCTTATTTCAGAACCTCCACTGGAAAAACTTAATAGAGCATCAAGTACTATCATGACAAAAACATCATAAACTTCTTTAAAATAATCACCTGTCAAAAAACTTCGAAAAGTATTTTCTATTGAAGGAACAACCATTAATATTCATTATAGATAATGAATTATCAATATTTCCAATATTAAAAACAATTCTTTTATCATAAAGTTATTCATTAGTTTATATATAATTATTACTTATGAGCAAAAAAATAAACATTTCTCAACCATTACCAAAAATTAATTGGAAAGATATGGAAATGGAGGAAGAACTTACTATCATAATACCACATGCCAATTTATTAAATAAAATTATAGACCCCAGATCTAGTCCTTAAGAATTTTTTGTACCAATAGTATATATTATTTGATTGTAAGAGATTTTCAGCTCAATAACACATGAAAGATGCTGATGGCTTTTTTATACCGCTGCCAAAAGAAGATCCAAAAAAAAAAGTATAACAATAGCATCAATATCAAAATGAAAGATATTAAATTAAATTAGAGGATTTAATATCAATAGATGATCTAGGTTAAGGTTCAAGTGGGAGAGTAATAAAAGCATTACATAGACCAACAAACATGCTCGTTGCACTTAAAGTATTGATTGTAAATAGTAGACAATACAAATAGTGAATGATGAAAAGTTTACTAAATAAGTAAATTTAGAACTGGAAACATTGGTCAGCTGTGATCATTAAAACATCATAAGATGTTATGGTGCATTTTTAGAAGGAGCTTCAGTGGCTATAGCATTAGAATTCATGAATTTAGGAACATTGTAAGATGTAATTAAGAAATAAGGAAAAATTCCTGAAGGCATGTTAGGATTAATAGCTTATTAACTTTTAAAAGGTTTGGATTATTTACATAGAACTAAGAAAATCATTCATAGAGATATTAAACCTTCAAATTTATTGATAAATAGTTAAGGAGAAGTGAAAATATCAGATTTTGGTGTGAGTGGTCAGTTATTAAATACATAAGATTAGAGAAGTACTTGGGTTGGAACAGTGACGTATATGTCACCAGAAAGATTTCTATGTGAGCCCTACTCTTCTAATACTGATGTTTGGTCTTTGGGACTCTCTTTACTTGAATGTGCTTGGGGAGTTTTCCCTTATCCTCATCCTGGATCTAATGAATTAACTCACTAACTTGGTTTTTGGGAAATCAAAGAATACATAGTTTCTAGGCCTGCTCCTCCTTCGCCTTCTGATTTTTCTTAGGTTGGAGCTGATTTCATTGCAATGTGCCTATAAAAAGATCCTGGATAGAGAAAAAGTGCGGCAGAATTGTTGGTATATATAATTATTTTAATTATTTTAGGAACATCCCTTTATTAAATAATATGAAGATGTGAGTCTATAATATTTAGAAGGCTGGCTTAACATTAATTAATGATTTAAAAATAATTATACATCATTTGAGATGTTTCAAATCTGAACTTGATTCTATATTCTTAACCATCATTCCTAATTGATTGTTTATTTCGATTAATTAGGGTAAAGTGCACTTGAATACAATGTCTTTATCTTTTTTTTCTATGGTTTTAGTATGAAGTTATATTTTATATATTTCTTAATACACTTTATTTGCATATTTAGAAGACACTACTATTTCTTATTACCAATCCACATCAACCAAGTAATTAAATCCTATTTTAGATTCAAAATTTGCAGCAATTATAGCATTATCAGGATCATTAATAAATTATTTAAATTAAGAAAACTTCTTTATATATCCATCTACAATTGTTTACTCAAATCCATAATCATATAAATTAGTGGAAATTTCAATTTCCATTAATTATAACTTTATGCATTGAACTGTAAATAACAAAATCATATTAAACAATTCATTTGTTAAAGGTTCTGTATTCAATTGATCCAATATTTTTGTATTATTTTCTTCTCCAGCCAAATTCATAAATACACATTTAGATAGTTTATCAAAATTTTATAAAGTATATGGATCTTTAGCTAATGAGCTCAATCCCTTAGATACTTCTTCAGGTATATTTTTGTTTTCTTAAATATTCATCTATTCTTATTGTAATTATATATTGATATTTTTTAATTAACAAATTGTGTTTAATTAAAATATGAGATAAAAACAAGACTCTTTTTAATGTTCATTTAAGAATAAGATTAAATAGAATCCAATAAGAAAGAATTCTATAATAATAATACTACAATGATCACATATATTATAATTTAATCACTAAATTAATCTAATTATTCTAATTTCATAATATCATTCATAAAGTTTCTTCTCATAGATTTAATTTATCTTTCTCATATCTTTTCTTCCTGTTCTCATATTAAATGAACACTCTATTAGATATGTATTTTTAATAATCTTAGTTATTATTATTTTTTTTAATTTGGTTTAAGATGATGTACTGCTTTTTAATTAGGAAGCATACATTGTTTACTTATATATGATTATAATATATATTAATTTTATTAAATTAGTTAGATTGTAAAATTACATGTTAATTTAAATAATAAATGGGCAATTGTTGTAA